GGACTTCATATCATCCTAGTACTTCATAATTTTTTGTAAAACGGAGCACTCAATCAATATTATTCTCAAACAAAAAATGAGTATTTTTACATGTGAGCTACGAAATGAACCGTCAAAATACATGAAATTTCTACATTAAATTTAACTTTCTACCTTGTTTTATATCTTAGGATAATTTATGTTCCAAAATTGTTCGAAAGAAATTCATGAACCAACAATAAAGAGGTATACTTTTTTTTGATAATATTGTTTTCATCACAAGTCTATTTTGTTTACTTTAACGATATTAATATGTTGTATATTTTCTTTGCATCGTGTGATACCATACAAAAGGCATCAAATGATTTGGGATCGAATTAGTTTAGGTCCATTACAATGTTATGTCTGACTCATTTGTTTTCCAACTCCCTCGAACATTTAATATGAAGATGAAGATATTGTTGATTAAAGATATCGTTGACCTCATGACTAGCATGATCATGATAATATTATGAAAAATTACACTGATTCTGGATTGTCTTTCTCATGGCAATAGTCCAATGCTACATCTAATCAAGGTAACTCCGATTACAATTTTTTTGGAGCAAACACCGCACAAATGTTCAATAGTTTGATGATTCATCTAATGGATATCAAGGACAAACTCATTACAGTAAAACCTCTATAAATTAATACTCGATAAATTAATAACCTCTATAAATTAATAAATTCTTCCGGTCCCGAGTTGGGACTTGTGTAAAAATGACATAAATCGATAAATTAATAAGATAATAATTTTTTTGAAAATCCTATGTAAACATATGGTCCCATCAATTTCATAAATTAATAATTGAATAAACTTATCAATATATATATGACTTAATATATATATATATATATATATATATATATATGATATTAATTTATATATTTCATATATGAATTACTCTGATACATTGATATTATTATATGTAAAATTTTTAATGAAATATGATTCTACTATTTTTTTGTTTTTCTTAAATTTGTATTAATTCTTGGTAGAGTTCATTTCTAATATCTTGACTTGATCGAAAAGAGTTTGTGTTCTTTTCTAAACTTAATAATTTTTTTTCTACTTGTAATTGGTTTAAAAATATATTTCTTATAAGGATAAAACTTGTTTTCAGATAGAAATTTTTTTAAAATTTACAAAATGAGTAAAATCTCTCTATAAATTAATAATTATTAATTTATCGATAAATTAATACCTCTATAAATTAATAGAATTTCTCGGTCCCAACATTATTAATTTATAGAGGTTTTACTGTATATGGATGGCCAATATATCCGTAATATATTAGCCACATAGTTTTTTAAAACACTATGTGGTTATGGTACATACAATTGTTAATCTAATGCTAGCAATTAGCTATAAGCCAAAAATTAGTTTCCAGGCTATATGTTGCTAATACGGATATTTTTCATCACTTCACAAACATCACTCCAATTTGCGTTGTATATGTTCTTACCTCAACAATTACCGGGTTTCATGAAATGCGTCGATAGCCTTTATCTTTTGTGAGATAGGTCATCTTTGGAATTAGATCTATTATGGTATTACCATGGTGCATGTGTTGTGGTCTATGAAGATCTATGGCGTATTATAAAAACCTAATAAAACTCTTTAGATATCATTAATATAGGCAGCGTTGTTGGGGGAAATTTGACAAACAATAACCAAAAATTGACTCGAGCCAAAAAAAATTGACGCGAGGGAAACAGAAAAAAATTAGGGTTACGGCCTTACGGGAAAAAGAATAAAACTAGACACACGTCCCATGATTGAACTTGAGTAGTGTCTCTAGTGAAATGTTTAAACTGCCACTATACCACGGTGAAATTTGTTTTTTTAGCTTTAGCACGAAATATGTTTTGGCTCATTTGATGAATCCTAGTATCGTTACTTTGACGCCATGAATGTGACTAATTTAACATATTCTAATATTTATCTCATAAGAAATTTGTTCTTTAAAATTAAAAAGTAAAAAATATATCAAATTATAATATATATATAATTTTTTTTTTCTTACCATCTCTTTCTAGCATCATATACAAGATGGAAACAATATATATCTAGTCTCTCAGCTATACTAAGATTCAAAAATTTATTTTTCGAAAGGATTTAAAAGCTTATATTGAGAACGTATTTATTTTCGAATCTAACTGTTTATTATAAACATTTGCATAACATACTTGAATGTAATTCTATATTGCAAAAAAGACAAACAAAAATAAAGAATTTGACCAAAAGAAAAAAGAAGATGCGACATATTTACATGTGGATTAAGGAGACTTCAATACTTGGTGTCGGATTTTTTTAATGAAGGCATACTTTTCTTCTTGCTCCAAGGAGAAAATTTCACAAAATATGAATCCAAAATTATTTTTCATTGATGCAAAAGCATATTCATTCAAAAGAAAAATTGTAGTCTTTGGCACCTAGTCTCATATATAATATATCGATCTAAAGATTATATTATATAAACTGATGTTTTTTAGATATGAAGCAAACAAGAAAACCAAGGATATTAAGAAATACTTATCATCAGGAGCTAATTGAGTTTAACACAATTGAGTTGCCTAAAGTGTTTCTGAGCTGCTCGATTTTCCGCAACCGCCTTGTCGACGGCTTCTTTGCCTTGTTCGTCTGAAAAGATCGTAAAAAGATGAACAAGAGTGTCCATGATGCAACCAAGAAGAGGAATACTTGATGAGCAATTTGAGTTAACTCGAGGAGAAGGATCATCCATATGCTCTTGAAAGGTTGTAAGAGAGGATGAATAAAAGTAAAAATAAAAAGAGATAGTGGTGTATTTATCTAAATCCTAATGCAAAGAGTGACTAGATGTCCACATACTTTTTGACGATTTAAAAAAGTAAGTTGATCTCAAAGAATAAAATGCCTTAAGCTTTTTCATTCTTTCTAGGTGGAAACTTCAAACAAATAATTCATCATCCACTTATTATTTTTAGAATATAGAAAGAAAAAAAAAAAAACTGAACTAGTTAGGCAACAATTGCTTTTTTCAATTTTTGTGTCTAGCTTTTATCTTCAGCATTATACTATACAGTATACAAGATAATGGTTTATTGTTGAATTAATGGTTTTATGTGCCTTAGTTGATTAAAATTTATTCAAAAAAATAGATATATAGATAATTGATAAATTTTCAATCTTCTGTAAAGAAGAAATCCAAATTTTTGATTAAATATACTATAAACTTTATCAATGAGAAAGAAAAAAATAAAATAATAGTGCTGTTAAAAAGTGGTATCAAAATGGTTGTATTTTTGAAAATTTCTCATTAAATAATATTTAAAATTTCCAGCACCATACAAAAAACAAATTTATTAATTATTATTTTTATTAACGTCAACACATTTATTAATATACGAAAACACCACACTAACATCTAAGTTCTTTCAATAATCTACTTAACATTTTTGAAGTACAAATTTGCTCCTCTAATCGGGTCGAGTTTTTTCCTGATTTTGACCCGGAAATCTTCAATCGGATCTTTCCTTAAATTATGGCAAAATTTTAAAAACCCAAATACCTAATAAAATCTAAATTATATATATTTTCTCAACTAATTACTATATCTAAACTCTTTATTTATGGTATATTCTTTACAATTTTTATAGATTAGGAAATCAAATATGATAATTTAATGCTAATATAACAAATTTGAGCTAATTTTCTAAAACCTCTCTACCTAATTTAAACATAAATATATGATTCTCATTTTACTTTTATTTGATCTTATATTTATATTATTTTGAATTATTATAAAATATATATAGTTAATAAATTTTAGTTTTTTTTTAAATATTTTATGATTCAAATTTTTTAAAACAGACATATATTACTAAGAAAAAAAGTATGTGTGTAATCTATATTAACATTTTTTTAAGAGCAAGTTGCACATTTAATCAAGTCATTTTTTTTATTCTGACCCGAAGTTGAGTCATTCAGATCTTTTCTTAATTTCTACAATGATCTAAAACGGGACAATATACCACGGGTGAGATCATAAAATTAACAAATCAAAATACAATTATTTAGTATTTTAAGATACAATTATAAATTGTTTTTACGGGTTGGTCCAAAAACACATACTAATTTAAAAATATATATATTATGAAAACCATTTGAAAGTAAACTTTTAAATTGACTCGAATTATATATCTTTCAAAAAAGTTATTAAAAAATAACAAAATGATGTTTAATTCCACAAGACAGGAGTATATGGTGGGACAGGTTTGGGTCGATATTAATACGGGACAATATACCACGGGTGAAATCCTAAAATTAACAAATCAAAATTTAATTATACAATCTTAAATAGTAAACAAAACAAATACAAATTAAATTTTTTATTTTTTATATACAACGCATGTGGCCCGCGATGTACAACAAAAACTATTATACATAACAAATTCATCAATTTATAAAAAAATAAAAAAAGCAAATAATTAACCCGCGGTATACCGCAGGTCATATCCTAGTTTAAGCTTAAAACCAATGACATATTAAAGTTTCGGAAAATCACCAAAGATATCTCCATATAATACAAATAAAATTCGAATACTTCGTTGACAAGAATTAAAAAAAAAGGAATTTTTAAAATAGAAAGCTTTATAAACTATGATATAACTCATATAAGTAAAATAAAATGAATAAATAATACTAAAAATAATAAATTAAACACTAAGCACCAAAATGATCTGTTGACCAACGGTTTGACTAACAAACTTCAGTTACAAAGATAAACGGCAACGATCTACAACCGTCAGATCAATAAACTCAATCTACAACCGTCAGATCTAAATGGCAATCACGTAAATAATAGTCAACCTCAAGGGTACTTCTAAAACTACACAAATCGCGTTTTGTTTCAAATCGAGCGGGTAAAATTTCCACAGAGCTTCTTCTTCTTCTTCGTCTTCACCGATGCTCAACTCTCTAAAACCCTAAGTCTCAGAATCAAAATCGAACTCAATCATCACTCAAAAATGCCAATCCCAATCTTCGAAACTTGCCGTAAGAGAAAACGAAAGCCGAGAGTTTACAATCTTCAACGATTCGGAGAAGATGGGTTTCCGATACACCGGAACGGAACTTTCCGACATCAAATTAGGGTTTTTTTACGAGATTGTGCCGAGGTTGAAGATTATGATCTCCGTGGTATGCCTGTTTGGTGTACTCTCTTTAGCCATGAGACGAAGAGTTCTCTGGTTCCACTTTACATCGTTGAAGAAAATGTGATTCACTCATCAGAACCATACTGCGATCACTGTCGATGCACAGGTTCGATTCCGTTCTGGGTTAAATCGATTTTGTAGATCGTGTTAATGAATTTCGTGTTTGATGAGAGATTTGAAGAATTGGGTTTTTTGTGTACATGAATTTGTTTCGATTAGGGTTTACAATTTTGTTGTTGAATTGATGATTATGTATCTGAAGTTGTGGAATTTTGGATTCGTTTGGTGAAAGTTTTTAACTTTGTTTTTTTTTTGTGTTGTTTAGGTTGGAGTAATCACTTTGTGTCCAAGAGAAAATATCACTTCATTATTCCGAATGATTCTGAGTGGAGTTTGCCATTAGAAGAGGATGCTTTTGATTTTCAAACTCATGCTTTACATGGTTTGATACATTGTAATGGTTTTGGACATTTGGTATGTGTCAATGGTATGGAAGGAGGTTCAAAGTACTTATGCGGAAGAGAGATTGTGGAATTTTGGGATCGGATTTGTAATAGTCTTGGAGCAAGGTAATGGAGATAACATTTATCTGTCCTGTTTGCGTTTGTTGGATTTTGCTTGGAGATTTATGGAATGTGTTCTTGTTGTAGGATGATTACGGTTGAAGATTTGGCTAAGAAGAGGTCTTTGGAATTGAGGTTGTTGTATGGTGTTGCTTATGGTCACTCTTGGTTTGGTAGATGGGGATATAAGTTTTGTCGTGGGAGTTATGGTGTGAGTAAGAGTGATTATGAGAATGCTATTGAGCTTCTAGGCTCACTTGAGCTTGATCGGATTGAGTGTGATATCAGTGAGCTTGGACAGTCTAAGGTGATCAAACAGGTTATTCGATATTATAGAGAAATGAGTGAAGGCCATTTGAAGACAGTGAGAGATCTTTTGCGGTTCATGCTCATTATTAAGTCTCATGCTTCTCCTCAAAAGCTTCTTCCTGCGACTCCTTCTCTCTTGACTGATTCTCCACATCAGAAAAGGTCAAATAGGTTGCTTTTGAAGAAAAGCGATGTTGCGGATAATGACAAGTCTCCGAAATATAGGAACTATAGTACTGTCGCTGCAAATTTGGGTAGTAGATGGCCTGTGAGGAGACTAATATTTGCAGCTGAAGTGATAGTAGATTCACTGAAAGAGATGAAAGCATTGAAGCCGAATGGTATGACTCGACAAGATGTTAGGGATTCAGCTAGATTGCATATTGGAGATACTGGTCTGCTGGATTACGTGCTGAAGTCGATGAACAATGTGGTCGTTGGGGATGTTTTGGTTCGACGTTATGTTGATCCCATGACACGTATTCTGCACTATACAATCCAGGAGCTTGATGATGCGATGAAAGCTGTAGAATCGAAGAAAGAAGAAGCTGTGGTGCTAGAGGAGATTACTCCTTTGAGGATTTTTACTCCATTGAAAGCTGGAGCTGATGTTTATGGAGATTTGTTGTTACTATACACAAATGTGCTGTTGAACTATCCAGAATCTGAGCTAGTGAGATCTGCAACTCAAGCAATCTTAGACAGCAAGCACTTCGTTAAGGAGTGGCCTTTATGGGACGACAACAATGACAAAGTATTACAATTTGTTTGCCGTATCAATCCAAGTTTGATTGATATGAGATCAGAACAGATCACAGAGCTGCCTCCAGGTGAATTAGTTACAGTGCCATTACAAGCCACAGTCTTTGATCTAAAGCAAGCCATTGAAGACACTTTCAGAGATACTTACTGCATCTTGTCAAATTTTGTGGTGAATGAGATTGAAGAGGTTAAAGAAGATATGAGTTTGACCGAGTCTTGTTCTGCTTTAACAGTTAGAGGTCATGGGATTGATTTGGAATCAAAACTCAAGTGTCAAGGTGGATGTGATACATGGATGGTGAAATGTATTTGCAGGGCTAGAGATGATGATGGCGAGAGAATGATATCGTGTGATGTCTGCGAAGTATGGCAACATACACGATGTTGCGGTATCGATGATTCAGATACTTTGCCTCCACTTTTTGTTTGCTCGAATTGCTGTGAAGAATTTGCAGAGCAACAGAGGAAAGTGTTGCAGCCCAAATATGAGTTTCCGAGTTCAGAGAACATGTTTCTGATCGAATCTGCAGATGCTTTCTTTGGAGATCAGAGATGTCTTGGTATGATTTTCCCTGAAGAAAACTATCTCTTGTAAAAGTCAGTTTAGGATCAATACATTGTAGATAATCAATTCTTTTGTTAATGAAACAAAATTGTATATGTGAGTTTGGCTTTGTGGTTTACAAGTTGGTTAAGAGACTCTGTTACAAAGGGAGGGTTCTAAAAACAGAGAAAATCCATATCAAACCGCCGGTCCAATCCGGTTTTGTGGTGTTTCCTCTATACAAAATGTATCAAAATGGTTTCTTAACATGTTTAAACTCAATAGAAGAAGAATCAGAACGATCAACAAAACCATTCATCTTCATAACTTTATTCATCATCTTCAACAACTCAGTAACTTTCTCCTTTGTTCCTTCACCACATCCAACTTGTAACATCACAACAAGCTTCTTAAACGCACCTAATCTCAACGCTTCTTCAACTTCATACCCATCTCCACTTTTACAAATCTTCCACATCACAGAAACCAAATCTTTCTTCTCAGAAATCTTCAAAATCTTCTTCACTAAAATCGGTATCACCAACTCGTTTCTTCTCAATTCTCTCTTCCTTCTTTAGTTTCACAAATAGTGTTTATTACCATTAACGCTTTTTCACAAACGCTGTTTTCAGAATCCACTAACATCTCCACTGTTGTATTCACAAGATCCAAATCAAGAAACCTTGTTACGGTTTCTTGATTTGTCAAGATCATGTGGTGGATTGATGTTAATGAGTAGACGCATGTAGTATCGCGATTAAGCGATTTCAAGAACGCTTCTTCGACGCCATTGATCTTTGTTAACGCGTGAACGTGAGCTACGTTAAGCTCAAGAAGCTCTTTTATCACAAACGCTGCGTTTTGATCTCCGTTTCTCAAAAGTTCCACTAAACGATTAAACGACGACTTAGTGGTGAGTTTGGATTGACCTTCTGAACCAATGGGAAGCATCCACGTCAGCACAGACACAATCTCTTCCAATAATAATGACGCGTTTGCGTTTTCGGAAAACGCGTCGAAGCAAACACAAAGAACCAATCCGGCGCCGTTTTCCTTAACGCATTTTCTGTTCCTCTCGCTCTCTTTTCCCAACATCTTCAACTTCCTAACCATCTCGCTGCACGCGGCGTAGTCTCCACGCCGCGTAGCAGCAGATAACCTCCCACAAATCTCAGAGACTTGATGACTCGTCACGGGTACACGTGGCGTCGGGATTCTCTCAATCCCGCCGCCTAGTGATGACCCACACCAACCTTGAATCATTCTCCGAATCGTATGATTCGGAATCTGCTCCAAACTTGTCAAAACCGTGTTAGTAACGGGACAAGTTTGGTACCCGGACTCGAACCACTTCTCAATGTTTTCGCGGTCGTAAGTGATCCCCGAAGCAATAATCACCGGATCTTTCATTAGCTCGTAAGATATCGGACATTGAAACTGCGACGGGACCGTTATCTCCACTTCCTCCGAGCAACTTGTCACCGGAATTGTCTCCTTCTTGCTTCCACGACGTCTCACTCTCAATGAAAGTCCCATTATTTGACCGTCTCTTGCTAACGAAGAATAAGTGGGTATGACATTTATATATGTATGTATGAATGTATAAAATTTTTAGGGATAATAAATGTTTTATATTTAAATTAGTCGTTATCATACGCTTCTTGAACGCGAGTGGGTCAAAGTTAAGTTTTAGGTAAAAGAAAAAAAAAATCACGGGAAAAATGAATTTTGAATAATGGAGAAGGTTTATGTCATATTATTCGCTAGCTGTTAAAGAATCGTAAAAATTGACCGTTGAATGTTTGAATTTAATGATATTGACAACTAATGCAGAAATAGGAAAATATAAAAGTTCTTAAAACCTATTCTTGGGTTGGCTTTTTTTTTTCTTTTGGTTTTGAGGATTGATTTTCTATTTTTTTTTTTAATTGTAAACATCTTAAGCGTTTTTGGTATATTTTGATAAAATTATTATTTCTGGAAAATAAAAGAAATTAGTACAATACGTATAGGTTTATAAAAAATTAATTCTTACAAACCAAAGTTAAACCGAATTGAAATTTGATTTGGTTCGGTTCGGTCACTATTGGAAGCCGTAGTGAGAATTAGGGCGGGGCAAATTAATCGAACCGGAACCGAAGCAAAAAAAGAACCAAAGCAAAAAAGAACCGAACCAAACCGAACTGAAAATTTAAAAATAACCGAAAGGATATTAAATTCTAAAATCGAAAGAACCGAAACGGAATCAGTACCAAACCGAAAATTTGAAAATAACCAAAAATACCCGAAATACAATTATATATCCAAAAATATTAGTTATTTATAGACCAAATAATTAAAAATATATAGAAATAGTAAAGTTACTCAAAAATAATCGAAAGATATCCAAAAATATCCACAAATAACCGAAATATCCAAAGCAAAATACCGAGTGGATATTAAATTTTAAAACCAAAAGAACCGGAACTGAACCGAAACCGACCCGAAATTTTAAAATATCCTAATGGATACTAAACTCTAAAACCGAAAAAACCGAAACCGAATGGAACCGAACCGATAATCGATTGAATAACCGAACGCCGAGGACTAGTGAGAATCCATACAATAGACAATATGTTTGTCTTATCAAAAAATATTTAATATAGAAAAATGAAGAATAATGTGAAATCGGCTAGAGATTGACTAAGTCAGTGGTCAAGAGTCGGTGCATGAAAACGCTACCATGCGCATATGGACATTACGTAACGTTCTTACCTGTTTGATAATTCGCTTGAGATTTTATTAGTCTGTCCATATTTCTTCAACTACATATAATCTTCTTTAAAAAAAGAGAAAATAATGTTAGTAAGAAACACGGCAACACCTATCTCCAACTCATAATTTGAACTATCCCGATATTGTGTTTTCCAGCTAACTTTTTGTTCGACCAACATCTCGACCAAAATATATTTACACAAACTGCTTCATTTGTAGGGCTTAATTGTTGGAGAGTTGGGCTTCATATTTGTAAACTCTTTTAGTGGATTTAGTGGGTTTAAGACTTTGACATACTTCGAGAGACTTCACCCTTGGAATCTCTTGTTTAAACACGATTTGCTACCATCGATAATCAGATCCACAAATTTTTTTCACACAAATTATTGGGCTTTCTAAGCCCATTTCAACTCCTCCGTTAGTATGATATTATCCGCTTTGAACCTACATGTTCAAGCCCGCACGGATTTGTTATTGGGCTCCTTCCCAAAAAGCCTCATACTAATTGGAGTTGGACTTTACTTATATATTAGAAACTTCTTTTCTAAACTTCCGATGTGGGACGTTGGTTTGTACCCAACACAAATAACATGTTTACTTTTAAAAAAAGTTATTAAGTTATCCTTGTTTTTTTTTTTATATAGCACCATATTGAATAAAACAAATGCTATTTGTTTAAATCATGTTCAAAATCTTTGATAATGTGAAGGTAAAACTGTAATCAGCCTTTCAAAAAAAAAAGTTGTAATAAACGAAAAATGTTATTACGTATAAAAATTAAAACAATGCCACTAAGATTATTTAGATAATCAATAGAAAAAACAAGGTTAAGTTAGTGAAGAAACAAGTGTTAGATAAACATGTGACTTGTGAGTGCTGATTTTGGTCAAAAATAAGGTTAACCCGACCAAAACTAGCACTTACTTGTTGATAAATGTAGCTAACCATTACTTGTGTCTCTTCAAAGCTTTTGTATCTTGGTATATAGTGTGAAGAAACAAGTGTTAGATTGGTAAATGGGTTGAACTGACTTTAGATTAAATTGCAGATTGTAAACGGTTGTAGCAAACCAATGAAACCATTATTCGGTAGATGTCTCATGGTAAATTGTTTCCATTGGTGTAAAGAAATTGTGTCTCCTTCTAACCCTTGAAGCATATATATAATCAAGGTATTTCAATGTTAAATCATTGAGAAAAGATGATGCGCTTGTGCCTTCTATGAGCATCTCTCAAAAACCAAGTTTAAAACTCTGTTACTGGATTCGAGTAACGTAGAGCAGGCCCGTGGCTATGTAGAGAAAATAGAAACATTGGCCTACGGCCCTTTCAAAAAAAAATTATTAACCCTTTGAACTTTTGTTTTTATAATAATTGCAAACATAGTGGTTTAATGCTTTTGTTTTTTAACACAAGGTTTTGAAAACAAAGATAAAGAAAACGAGACTACGTATTGAGTTATTGATTATGAGTTATAATTTGCAAACTAAATTATAACTTGTAAAAGAGTTAGTATATCTTATGATGATTAGTATTTTATAAACGTTATTTTATATGTATCCAAGTAGAGTTTGGTCTTGGGACAAATCCCAAATCCTTCCAAAAGAAATGTTGTATATGCACCCGTAGATCGATTTCCCATTTGTAAAGGGACTATTCTTCAAAGGAGAGCTATTAACCCTCTTTAGTCTCACAGATTATTAAAAATTATCTATATTTTATATGAGTTGATGTTTTTTTTAACACCGCCTCTGGACCTCTGGTCTCTGTAAGACTGTAACCCTGGGCACGGCTCTGCGTAGGAGTGCGTAAACTTCAAATCTATATACTTCTCTTGGTTAAGACTGGTGATACAAACTTGTTCACCATTAGAATATCCATAATCATCTTTTCCGATAAATTGCATGTATAGTTCAAAAAAAGGAAATGTTATTTACTTCAAAATAAAATTCTAGTAAACGAAAATGTTATTTACCTCAAAAAAAAGGAGACCAAAATTATTTAGATAATTAATAGAAAAAATAAGGTTAAGTTAGTGCATGTACCTAAAAAAAATGAAATTGATCCTATATTTTATTTTTATGTAAAAAAAGGTTAAAGTTAATTGAAATAAAAATTCTGAGATATCATATACTTTTGCCCAAAAAAATAAAAAGATATCATATAAGAGAATTTGTTATTTGTTTACTACTATACTTTGTCTCAATAGAATTTTGTACTATCTTGTACAACGAATTAATGATTACCTGTTTAGTAGTACTGTGTATAGTGTGAACATTAAGCATCTATCAATATCGATTACCTTTGGTTTTTCTTTTGGGCCATAGTACTAATAAACGTGTTAAATGAATAAAGATCTCAGTGTCTTTTTCCAAATTCCAGAGCATAATCTTGGTTTGGTCTAAATTTTCTTCGATTATGAAAGAAAAATCATATAAATAAGAAATAATGTCTCTTTTTTCTTATGAGACACAAAAGTACAAATGTTAGAAAAAGTATTACTATCTCTCTGTTCTCTGGGCTGTATTGAATTGTACTTATTTAAATACAACTTTCAATTGATGATAAGAGTAACGATAGTTCAAGGTTTTTGTATTTAAAAAAAAAAATGAGCCTAACAAAACAAAAAAATAATCCTTAAATATAACGGAATTATTATAGTCCTGAACAAAAACTTTGTTTATTTCTTTGAATTTGTTGAACTGTTACCAAACGTTGTCTTATTGATTTTTAATTTCTAAAAATACACTGTCCTTTTCTTATTTTCATGTAACCAAAATATAAGTTTGAAATATTTGAATATTAGCCACAATCTGAAACTTAAATTTCCTTATCTTACTTTGGATGCTTATTACAACGTTCAACACTCTACCTACATATACCATGATAAAAAAGTTGTGAATTTGTGTCACCAGATACTAACTTAATCCAATATTGATATCTATTAATATTAAGTACTAACTATTAAGGACTTGATTGGTTCTCCCGCTATTACCCGCCTAGCGGTTGTTAGCGGTTGATTGCGGTTGATAGCGGTTGGTACTAATCATAGAAACCGCTATATACCACTTCAGACCGTTCAAAATCACAAAAATATTTTGGTTGAGATCAAGTAGATGTCAATTTATAAAGATATTAAAAAAATGAAGATCCAAACAAAAGAGACAGCCATGTGAAGATGGATCCAATGCCAACCTCTCTACCTCACTGTCATTTACCATTTCCAAACAAACTTTAAGTACACACGTCAACTTTTCTAAATCAACAAAACAAAAAAAATATAACACTCAACATCAAATACTATATTAAGAAAACCCAAATTACGCCCTAAATGTTACTTGCATCACAAGAAACATGAAAGAATTGTGAGGGAATAAGAGGAGAGGAAACACAAATATACAAAAGGAGAAAATCAAATCTGGGTTTTGAGGAATCTCATTCATCGTCCATCTACTGAAGTGAATGACTCTGCGAATCCGTATGGTCTAGTGGGAATACTCATCTGCGTGTTGTCCAAGCTAGGTAAAAGTGATGAAGTCGAAGATTCGAGATCACTTCTTCCTTCATAAGCTTGCCATTTCTTAAGTGCTTGAGGCAAAGACATGTCGAGATCGATACCGTATATGTCTTCTGGATTCTGATCTGATGGTTTCCATGACTCGACAAGCGAGGACAAAATGTTGACTGCGTGTCCCATGTCTGGTCTCTGGTAAGGCTCACGGGCACAGCAATGGCCTGCTAGTTCAGCAACAGTGTGAACGCTGGCTAGGGTTTCTTCGTCTAGGTCTATTGTCGGGTCGATTGCTTTCTTGAATGATGATTCTTTGTTGATGTACATCCGTTTGAACCAAGAGACTAAGTGAATGCTCTCTTCTGGTTGCGATTCGTCTAGAGATTTTCTTCCTGTTATGAGTTCCATTAGAATCACCCCGAAGCTGTACACATCGACCTTCGTTGTCACTCGACCCGTCACTGCAACAAACAAGATCACAATCATAATCAAGAAACAATCTTACACAAACTGAATCATTAAAACGGATGGACTAACAAACTAACCTGCATACTCGGGCGCCAAGTAACCGAATGTTCCTGCAATTCTGGTTTCAATCGATCCTTTCCCTTCAGGAGCGAGACGAACGAGTCCAAAGTCTGCAACTTTCGCCCGCATATCATCGCCAAGAAGAATGTTGGAAGGCTTAAGATCCCTGTGAATGAAGCTCTGGTGAGCTAATCCATGGAGATACTCCACACCTCTAGCAACATCCAAGGCTAAAGTCAATCTCTGTTTCCACAACAGAGGCTTAAGTCCTTCCTCTGACCACTCAAACAAATGCCTACTCAATGTCCCTTGAGGCATATACTCATACACAAGTAGCTTCTCGTTCCCGTCCAAACAATAACCGAGAAGCGTAACCAAATGGCGATGCCTAACCTTTGTTAAAACCGCAATCTCTGACTTGAATTCCGCGAATCCTTTACCAACAATCACACCATTCTCCATTCTCTTAACCGCGATCTTGGTTCCATCGTGCAATTCGCCTTTATACACAACCCCGAAACCTCCTGATCCCAAAATGTTATCTGAACTGAAGTTGTTAGTCACAGAACGAAGCACTTGGATTGAGATCAGCATGTTTCCTGCTTCCACCATTTGGATATTATCTCCTACCTCGCTCGTACCAGGAAGCGTGTAGGTATCACTTATGCCTCCAACGCTTACACTTGAACCCGCAACTGTGATTTTAACGCTTTCACTGTCAGATCCCGAATGTCGCGGATGCACCACTACTGCATTTGAGCTCTCACCTCTTGTGTTAAACTTTTGCCTCTTTTTGTACCAGCAGAAAACTAATAAACCAATCAACAAGATTGATAATAGACCTCCAAGAACTGAACCAACAATGATTCCTATAAAAGTCGAAGACTTCATTCCTCTCCTGTCCTTATCACCATTGATTCCTGACCCCGAACCACCTGAAGGCGAAGAAGAACCGGGAGAAGGCAAAGAGCTTTTATCCTTTCCAATGTCAGGATTACCATTAGTACTCACAACCACATTGCTTCTAAAACCCGGGACCTTCCCGAAAAGCTTGTTACTCGAAACATCGAGTGTTTTGAGATTAGGTAACGTTGTAAGCTCTTGAGGAATGGTACCCGTAAGATTGTTGATACCAAGAACGATTCTTTGAAGCGATTTAATGGATCCAAACTCGGGAGAAATCGTCCCGGTTAGACCCATTTTCTCAAGATTAATAACAGTAATGTTCCCATTGCTACAAACTATCCCAATCCAATTCGTGCAAGGATCATTTCCTTTCCAACTCTCAGCGAGCCGCTGCGGATAATCAAATGAACTAGCTATCAAAAGTAAAGACTTCACTCTAGAATCACACTCACCAGGACTAGACAAGCAAAAGCTATTCGAATCTTTATCCAAATCAACCGAAACCGAGCTCTTAAACACAGGAACTGGTCCTTGAAGATGATTATTCGTCAAGTTTACAACTTTAAGCGACTCAAGACTTAACAAAGACGCAGGAACCGGACCCGTGAATGCGTTATCCCTCAAACTCAAGCTCTCAAGCTCCTTAAGACCCGAAAAGTCCGGTAAAGGACCCGAAAACGCGTTGGAATGAAGCCAAACCTCCTTCAAACCAGTCATATTCTGAAGAACATTAATCTCACCAGTTAGTTTCTGACCATTGAGCCACAATGACTGAACCTGCGAGCCAGCTAAGCTCAAAGGCAACTCTCCTTCTAAGTTATTGAAAGCCAAATGCAAAATCGACAACCCCGGAAACTCATCCGGTCCGAAAAAACCGGGTAATTTACCGGAAACATTAGCCGAATTCGCCGAGAAATTCTGAAGAGCAGAAGCATTTCTCAAACTCTCTGGAATCTCCCAACCCTTAAAAGGATTATTATCAATTTCTACAGATTGTAACGAAGTTAAACCTTCAAAGACATCACTAGGGATTGACTCAAAGTTGTTATTACTTAACATCAAGACTTGTAATGAAGCTAAACCACTTAAAGAAGGAACAGGACCAGAGATGTTGTTCCATTGAAGCTCAAGTCTTTCAAGCTCTGATAAGTTACGTAGATCAGGAGAAAGTGTACCTTGAAGACCCGAATGCCCGATTTGGATCCGGGTCACACGTTTTGTTCCAGTACAAACGATGTGAGTCCATTTACACGGGTCTGGGTCAGACCAACCGAAAGAACTTGGTGGGTTTAAGCTTTTCTTGAGTGATAGCATCGCTGAGAGATCTCCATCAGAGTCAGCTTTGGAGAAATCAAGAAGTAGAAGGAGAAAGGTTAACGAAAACATGAGAAAGGTTCTTCTTTTCTTCATAGCTTGAAGAAACAGAGGAGGGTGAAGAAACAGAGAGATAGAGAGAGAAGTGTGAATAAAGTTTGAAGCTTTGAGGAAATGGGAAGATGGGCCAGTGAGAGAGAAGGAAGAAGAAGAAGAAGAAGAAGATGAAACTAAGAAGCAGAAGCCAAGGAGACTGCACATGGGATGTCTGTCCCACTAAGCCAATGACAGTTTGGTAACAGATTAGATACATTTATTTTTTTATTTATTTTTTGGAGTTTTTGAGTTTATTAATTTTAATTTTATCATAGGATTGAGATAACGTTTATTTGAAAAATATTAATAAAGGTTATTGTTGATATATTGAGTACGTAGTGTGAGTTGGATTTTTTTTTTTTTTTTTTTTTGTGAGTTGGATTTTGTCAAATGCATCACACAAATGGAATGGTGAACTAAAAAAGCAAAAAGTATAATTTGCTCCCAAAAAAAAGCAATAAATATCTAAAGTTTTGCTTTTTCATATTGGTAAAAGTTGTATTGTTTAGTTTTAGACTAGTTGTTATTTTGTTATAAATTAAATTGCAAAAAATATCTCAGTTTTTTTGCAAAAAATATCTCAGTTTTGCTTCTTTTTTTGTATCTTAGTAAATGATATATATACTAGGATTTAACCCGCGATACACCGCGGGGCAAAATTATATTATATGTATTATATATATATATATATAAATTGTTTAGTTTTTACAAGTTGTTAAATAATCAAATGAGAGGAGGTAATTTGCAGAAAAAACATGGTGAAATTTTTCGTAAGTAAGTTGTGTTTTTTAGTATCCGTGATTTTCAAAATAAAGTTTATCGGATAAAATAACATGACATAGTTTGAATTTATAAACAAAATTTACATTACTTTTATGTTAAGTCAAAATTTATAATCCACACCATTTTTAAAACTACACATAGAAAATAAATTACCGTATAAAAAAATTGCAGTTCACTAATTTAGTATACATATAAAAAAAAAACACAAATCATGGTTATTTAGTGGTATTTTTTATATGAAATTAAGTAAAAGTTGTTGTAACTTGTAAGTCTCAATTTGGACTTTAATCAAGAAATTCAATTACCTAAAGTAGTAGAATCCTTGTGCCAGTTAAACCGTCTGGACCTTTTGTTTCCGAGTAAGTAAATGAGTTAATGACTTGAAAGTTGAAAAGACAGCATACAAAAAATTAATTTTAGGTGAAAGAGATTTTTATTCTATATTCGGTAGTTCACCAAAATAATAACTAAACAATTTAATTGGTTGTATTTTAAAGATCACACATCGAGGGTTCTAGGCTGTCAATGGCATAAGAGTGCAAAAGTTGTGAAAAAGATTGGCAAATGATTCGTAGATAACACACAAAAAAGCATAAAAAATATTACTATAATATGTAGATTATTATAAAAAGTATACAGGTGTTAAAACAAAATTTCATAAAGAAGTCTCGAGTCTCCTCGACTAAACGATCCGCAACAAAGATATACAAACAAATAATAATAATTATTATATAATATAATATGAATATTTTTGTATATTTAGAAAGCCTTTTTCAAAAAAAAAAAAAAAATTGTATATATAATATGAAATATATGTGGATACAATTAATATGCAAATTTATACAAATTTGATGTGTCTGTTTTTAGCAAAATGCTACATGTATCTTTCGTTGCTGTCTCATGAATCATGATGATTTAAAGTCCTTTTATCTTTTTATTTTTAGTTTCTTACTATTATATTATTATTACTTTCTATGGGAGAAAAAAAATGTTTTTGTATGTGTATAAGAAAAAACCAGGTGAAGCTGATTCCCCATGCACATGGCTCTCTGCAAGATCTACAAGAAATAAAAACTTTATAATTTCTAACTTCTAATTATATAATTTTTCATTTTAATAGAACAAAATGCCTTTTTTTTTAAGGTTGGATAATAATTGTGTTTGTAATATTTTAGGGAATGATGATGAATATGGTAGTGAGTGAGACCTGTCAAAAATACTAAATGAATTCAACTTTTTCAAATCAGTGCAAGACATTATTTTATTACTTTATTGAAAACCAAAATATGTTACTTGTTGGGTGTTAAAAGAGTATATCACGTAGCATTCATACCAAGATAATGTATAACTGCAAGGTCTATGGCAAACGTTTATAATGAATGGATGTCACAAACAATACAAAGAAAAAAAACAGGTTAGTCGTAAGGAAGAATTTTCTAGCAATTTTCTCGCTAATAGCATGTAACATAATAGCATGTAACAAGAGATTTATGTTAGAAACCATTATGTTGCAAATAATTTGTCGCAAGTTCAGATCTATCGCAAAAATATTTTCGTAAATATACGATGGTATTGTGAGTAAGAAAACCATTGAAAGATTTCCGTCGCAAACTCATAGCAAGATTTGCGAGAATGTTGCAAAAATGCTACGAATTTGCGATAGAGCGGTTAAACGTGTTTCGTAAATCCGAAGCAAATATACTACAACTAGTGGTTATTTTTGATCCAAAGTGCTTGTTCACAACAATGGTTATCATGCTAGTCTTACCTAACAACCATCTCATATCTTTAATGTATCGAGGATAAGAAAAGCTCACTTGTTTTATTTTCGATGCTGAAACAAAATGTTTTGAATTTGCCAAACTTTCTGCTTGCATTGAATTTTTTTTTGAGACTTTCTAGTGATTTTGAAATTTTATGAGGGAGTTGGTAGGAATTTCGATGAAAAGAGCTATACCATCCAAACAACTTTCATATAAAATGCGGTTACCAAAGTTTCTTTCCAAATTTTGCTATGGAGTTTGTCTTTGCAAACCCATTGCAAATATGTGATGAAAGTGCAAAAAAAGTTGATCTCTTCACTCATTTCTTACAAAATCTCGGAAAATTTTCGATAGATTTGTAAGAACCATTTTATTCACAAATTTACAATATATTTTCAAGAAAACTAACATTTGTAGCAGGTTGCTTGCAAATCTATCGCAAATTATTTCACTCGAGAATTGACTGTTTTTTTCTATAAAATAAAATAAAAGTGTAATTATTTTCAATGAAATTAATTTTTGTTACGAATATACCACATTTCAATGCCAAAAACTACGGTAATTGTTTTTTTTTTTTTTTTTTTTTTTGAACACTAACTACGGTAATTGTTATTCTATATAATTTGCATAATAAACCATCTTTATTTATATTAATGAAAACCCATTAACTCACTAAATATATTTTAAACAAACATAAAAAGCAGCTTCACCAGAAAAAGAAACAAAAACCTAAATGAAACACTAAAAATCTTCAATCACAGCTTTGTGAAGGTAGAATCATCATCTTATGGAAGCCATTGTTTCAGAAATTCGAATAGATCTCCTGTCTTTAAACATGATCGCAGAAGTAAAAGCTCTTTGTTAAGGAAGGGAAGAAGTTTGCCACACAATTTCTTGATGAATAGATATGCATAGTATTACTATAACGAAGATTTGGGAGATCATTAGAGGCATTTTTTTTCCTTAAAGTTTTTTTTTTTTTTTTCGGCAAACTGTAATTTATTCAAATAATAGATTCTTTACAAATCAAACGTTTTAGCCACATCGGCTTGTGAACAGAGTTCTATCCTTAAAGTTTTAAAGTTAGAAAACTACATTTGACTCTTTTTCCTTAATATTTATAAATTTTATATTCTTACTAGTGTTTATTTATTCTTTAGCAAAAATAGAACAAATTTTGTTTTTTTTTTGTTTATCTAGTGATTAATATTATCAACATTCTTTTTATTAAGTATACAATTTGAATCAATTTTGGTTTTCTTAATATGTTATTGAATAATATTTTGGTAAGCTCTTTTTTCATATTATTTTGGTAAGCTCATGAAATCTATTAAAGTGCTAAACATAGACAAATATGAAAGAGAGTATACTATATCATTGAACCAAATGGGTATTAATCAATCAAACAGAAAAAACAAACAATTAGGAAATACATTGTTTTTATTAATATTAATAATTAGATTTCTGTTCATATGGTGTCATTAATTTTCCTTATTTTTCTGAATTCTTTTGAACTAATAGCATGAAAAAATCACTAAAAATGAGAAACTAAATAAATGTCCCAAACTCACAAGGAAAATAACATTAAGAAGAAGTCAAACAAAAATAGGAACTAAATTAATTAAGTCCCAAAACAATTTTTTTGTTTGTTAAGAAGTACAAATAAATTAAGAAAAACTTCAAAAATGATAATGTATTAACTTTTTTTTTTGGACAAAAAATGTCAAAATGAGATTGTATTACCATGCATGAAATATTTTGGGAAAACTTGTGTCTTTTTTTTTTTGTTTCTTAAGTTTTTGTTTTGGTAAATAGCAAGTACATAACAAATTAGCTCTCCGAATTGGATTATGATCACAAATCTAATACATATCTAATAGACTCTCTTTTTTTGTTGACAGCACATATCTCTAATATACTCATTGGTATATATTATTTATATTTGATTAGCTTCCCTTAATTAGCATAAAAAATTCCACTATAAAAAGGGAAAAAGAGGAGCTAAGAGTAACCCAACCAAAAAAAACTTTACAAAGAGATCGAAAAAAATTAGAGGGAGAGAAAAAAAAAGATGCAAATGTTGAAAGGTGGTGTGGTGTTAATCATAACTCTAATCTTGTTGCTACTGACGTCGTCAATGACTGCTATTCGTGAAGACCCAACTTCGATTGGAGTCATGAGAAAGGTCCCAAAAGGTCCCGATCCTATACATAATCCTCCTCATCATTCACTAAAAAATCGTCATTTAATTGGAGACATACATCAAACGGACTTGGAGTTCATAGAAAACTCCCAAGTAGTTTTTAATAATACTATTATAATGATTAGAGATAATTAACATGTATTGTTTTACAGAATAAGTGTAATTCTGTTTTAATAAAACTAGATTTATATTTTTAATCATCCACTTGCCCATATTTTTTATAATGAAAAAATGAGTTTGGCTTTGACAAAAAAAAATGAAAAATGAGTTTGGAATGGTTAAGGTGGACATAGATCATATAATTTGGAATTTCATGATATCTAGATCCACTCGAATCTCATTAACATGTAATATCGAAGGCTTTGGTTTCGGACCAGTGGAAGTTATGGGCCAGCTTATAACATTCTTTGTTAGACAGGGAAACAACAAAGAAATTGATTTTGACATTATAAACTATAAATTTCAAATGCTTTTGCATTATAACATGTAAGCTTTTTGATAGGGTTCAAATTAACTCCTAAAGCCTACTCTCTCAAATAAGAGATCTATTGCAGTACTTAAGGGTCGAATTCCACAAAGTTCTTTTGTTCACACAGTAAATTATAAGTCTCGAAATTAGGCTAAATAAAATAATTAAAATTAAAATAAAACAATAGCAAGCAATGATTTCAGGTGAAAAGTTCAATAGATTAAAGCGTCAAGTTTAGGGAAATTCTCAGGAAATAAACTAATAGTAAATCTAGCAAATTAATTAGGATTATTTAACGAACCGTTCTAGAACTCAAAACACTAATGACTAGCTAAACACCTCTCGATGCGCTAACTAACAAGTCTAATATCAGTAATTCCACCTCTCGATGCGAATTCCTAGATCTAGACTAGCATTAAATTCAGGTTTGATATGTTCACAAATTCTCCTAGACCAACTCTCGATGCATCTAGAAATATTTGCTCATCTAAGGTAGTTCCAGTAACAGGTGCCCTCTCGGATCAAATACCTATTATCCTATGATCAAGTTCTAGTTAGCTACTCTAGAACTAGCATTAAGAACAACCTAGATGAAGAACTCTATGGATTAATCCTAACAGGTGTCGATTTACTAGTTCATCTAAATCCCTAATGAGAATCCCTAAACCTAACAAGAAGACTACTCAGACATGATTAATGAAACAGAAAACATGTTTGAATTAGATTGCAAATAAGAATTAAAAGAAGAAAAGAGTTTAGAATAAATCTTCTCTCTAACAGGGTATTGAAATCTCTGAAAGTAGCTATCTCCAATTATCTTTCAAAGGGTTCAAGCTCAGAGAATTACAAAAGCCAAAGACAAGATTGCAGGGTTCCAGGGTTCCAGGGTTCCAGGGTAAAGAAACAGAAAAACCCTAAAAACTATTTATAAAGTCTCCAAAAACGTGCAGGGACTAAAATTGCAAATAGAGAAGTCTTCTGGGTAATTTATGCGGGCTTTAAAACTCTAAACCGTCGAGACTTCTTGCTGGGCCGTGTTTGAGTGTCGAGCGACACCAAGGGTGTCGGTCGACACTCATGCCTTGGTTCGAACCGAATTCGTCTCTTCAGCTCCAAATCTTCGGTTTAGCTCCAGAATGATTCCTTTTCTCCAATTTCGTCCCGAACGTGTAAAAACCTGAAAAGACTCAAAAATACACTAGAAACAACAAAAAACTCTAAAACTGACACGTAAATTACGGTTAAAAACCGGTAAAATCCATGATATATCACTTTTCTCCAATTACATAAAAATGGAACTCAGATAAATGTATGTATATGCAAACAAGACAAGGAGGCACAAAAAAACCCCATGCTAATAGAGTAATGGGCCATTAGATAAAAGACGAATTCAATTATGCAATCAGAAATGAAGTTAATTTTTTTTTTTATTAAAGTCGTAATTCTTTTCTTACAAACACACTTTGGATTAGAAGACTGGTGGTTTCTTTACAAAATGAAGCGTGGGATGATACAAATGGCATATTTGATCACCTCAATTTCGTAGCCTTTGATAGGAATATAGGATCCGTTGCATAAGTAATTAATAGGCAAAAAATATTTTTGTAGCTACATAAGCTATACGAGTTTTCAGATCCTTCTTAAGACTAGGAAATAGTATAGTAGTATATTATTGAAACAAATGGTTATAATTAGTCAAACCAGAAAAAAATAGGAAATACATTACTATATTAGTATAAAATAGTATAAATATCTGTTCATTTGGTGTCACTAAATTTCCTAGCTAAGTTTATTTTTGACAACTTATATTTTTTAATAGCATAAAATTCATTTTCAAAAGAGCAAAACTAAATAAATGTCCTAAGTTACAAGAAGAATAACCTTTGAATAACCTTAGGAAGTAAAAAAATTGGAACTAAATTTAAGTCCGCAACACAATTTGTTTTGGTCAAATAGATAAATAAAAACTTCAAAAAATAAGATTTTGTTACCATGAAATATTTCGGGAAAACATGTTTTTTTTATTAAGAGTTATTTTCTGTTGTTGAATAACTTGTGTTCGTATAAAAGTGTCACGTACATATCTTCTAATATACTCAATTGCATTTGACATTTGATTAGCTTCCCTTAATTAGTATTAACAAATTCCACTATAAAAAGAAAAAGGAGGAACCAAGAGTAGTCAACTAAAAAAAAGTTTACAAAGAAATCAAAAAGAAAAAAAAAGAGAGGAATAATGCAAGTGTTCCTAATGATGTCGTCAATGGCTGCTATTCGTGAAGACCCATCTTTGATTGGAGTCGAGAGAAAGATCCCAACAGGTCCTGATCCTATACATAATCCTCCTCATAAACCTCCTCAGCCTTCACCAAAACATCATCATTGGATCGGAGTCGAGGAAAAAAATATCGAACGGCCTTGGATTTATGTGGATTATGATTCTCCTCATTAACATAAACCTATACATAATTCTCCTCAGCCATCACCGTTATTTAGTCATTTGATCGGAGTCTAGAAAAAAAATAGTGAACGGTCTTGGAATTCATAGAAAACCCCATAGGGGTTTTTTATACTACTTCTATTATGATAAGCGAGAATTAACATGTTAATGTTTTATAGAATAAATGTATTTCTGTTTTAAGAAAACAAGATTTACAGTTTTAATCATCCACCAGCAAATATTGTCTTAGAAAGAAAATCTGAGTTTGGAATGGTAAAATATTCCATTAGATTGCGTATATACATTACAACAAACATACATGAAACTTCACTTTTGAGTCTGTTAATGACCGACGTTAACACGTTTATTTTTTGGATATACTTCTGTACATAATTCTCTTCATTATCCTCCTCACCCTTCACTAAAACATCATTATTTGATGACTAATGAAGAGCATTATGTACATAACTTCTTTAATCTCCTAATGATAGTAAAGACCAAACCTATGAGTCGACTAGAACGACTAAAAGACCAAAAAATCATTAGGAGATTAAACACGGAAGATAAAGAAGAAAACCCTTTTGACCAAAAAAAAAAAAAAAAAAAAGAAGAAAACCCAAAATCGCTTAAAACATAAATATATTGATATACTAGATATGATAACATAGCAGAATAGAGTTTTCATCATTCAACAAATAATATCACACGATTCAATTTCATAACTTACAAAAGCCACACACATGGTTTTTATTATATTTTACAAATCCAGACATTAATTCATAAACTTGAGATTTGATGCGAAGATGAATCGATAAGAATTAATTTATAAATTAATATCTAGAGCTCATCTTTGACATGGTCTTCGTCTATCGATGCAAAGGGATTACGAAATTTATATTTGATTGGATACCAGGCGTCCATTGCAATACCGCATAGCCCTTCATGATCTTTGATTCCACGCTCCATCCTTATGTAGCCTGCTTCTCCCCATCCGACTCCGTATGAGTTTTTCACAATCCAAAACTTGGTTTGGTTTGAGTCAGACCCATATCCGACCACAGTCATGGCGTGGCTTAAATTTTTTCCGCATGTCCCGTTATATACTCCCTAAAAGTGAATAAAAATGTGCCGGGTAAGAGTTGCAAGGTATGAACAATGTTATAGCAAATATCAAATAGTGTTTAGTATGGTTTATAATTTTAATTTAACAATATTCAATTTAGGAGGTTTTAATTAATTTATTTAGATAATATTAATTGTTCTTACCCCAGTATATGTCATGAAGTCTGGGTTGTCAGCATCAATTGCGACAGATACAGGTTGGTTCGCAACAGCCTTCAGAAGCGCATCTTCGTTTTTGGGAACTTCCTCATACCAATCAATCGTTGCATCACTTTTCTGGACAAATAAACATTTCCGATCAGTCAAAGATATGCAGTACAACTACAAATAGAACATCGTGTAATAGAGTCATAATCTATGATATGTGGACAACTCAAATAAATGTTTATTTAAGTGAAGAACCTTTGGTGTCTGGCAATTTTCATCTAGACCTTTGTAGGGATAGTTTTGCTCAGTGGTGATTCCACCGTTCCTCGTGATAAAATCGAATGCCCTGTCCATGAAACCGCCCTCACAACCATTTTTTTTATTAGTTACACAGTCTACTAGTTCTTGTGCGGACAGCGGGATGATGGGCGTTTTCGTTTTGATCTGACTGATTCCCTCTACGGCTGCAACCGAAGAGAATGCCCAACAACTACCTAGAGAATAGAGATGCTCCCGTCGTTTTAAATAATAAGTAATTTAAATAAAAGAACATATTGATGGGGTGAAATCAACAAATTAAACTTAAACACTATTAACAGTACTCTAACTTATTCAGCGTACTATTCAATGTTTTATAGATTTTTTTTTTTGATGTTGTTGTTGCCTTCTAAGCTCTATGTAAATTGGAAGACTTAAAAGCATGATTGACACATTTGTTGCAGTAACTAAGCAGTTTCTAAAGTGTATGATGTGATGAAAAAAATCAAACAAGCTATTAATTTTAGTGATTAATTTTTCTAATGCATTATATATAGAATAATTATATAAATATGTCAAATTTTATTAAAAGAAAAAAAAATTAAGCAGCAAAGCGAACCTTTTGATGCTTTCTAATCAGTAATCATATAGAAATAAATATATAAAGTTTTTTTTTAGAGGTTAATAATATAAGAAAGACCCGTATATATATAAAATGAACATTTGCAATTTCCAAATGTTCTTCTCTATATTTGAAATAAAAAACTGATTGGATAATTAAAAGTTTAAAACCTAATCAAATATTTTGCCATCACATTCTTATTAAACCGAAACGTTAACCCACCTGATTGTGTTTACCTTAAACGGAAATTATATATCTTAGTTCTTATTCTAGTACAATAGTATTTTTTTTTTTTTTGTTAAATCAATAGTATTATTTCAAGCAAACGAAAGTACAGCACTTGTTAAATCGATAGAGAACAATTCAAAGGTTTTTTTTTTTGATGTATTCCCCCGTCAAAATATTTTTTTTTCTTCCGTTTTAAAAATAAATAAAAGCTTTCCAAAAAGAAACTCTTAGACTTACAACATTCCTTTTGATCCTTGACTGGAGAAACGGCGCCTTCCTCTCTCCAATCAAACGAGTCGGAGAGTTGAGTCACGTTCTCATACATAAACCGTCCCGATGCATTTGGAGACGCTTCCTTATCATAGCCGGAATTACAATTAGCGTAGATGTTTGAAAACTCTTTGAATGTCATGTCGGCGAACTTGTTAAGTTTAAGGTTGTAAGGTATATTCTTGGTCTCGTGGACAAACATCACAGTATCTTTGAAAACGTTGAACCTCTCCCCCCTCTCAATACTACCAGGGATCCTTTCAACTGAGTAGTGTTTCATCCACCTCTCATAGAGCTGATCCAAGCTCGCCTCGCTCTGCAATTCCCTTTCTTCAAAGTCGAATCCCCGAACATATTGGAGAATGAAAAATATAGAGAAAATGATCAAGAAAACATTATCCATTTTCTGATTGTTTGATTATGCTATTATAAGATTTGAAGGTGATATTTTCAAACTAGATGGTGTTGGATATATATAGGCCGTGGTTGTTATCTAAGGTATTTAGAAAAGAAAAAATATATAACTTCAAATTGTAAACTTACAAAAATGTAGGTCAAACCCACAAATTATATTTTAACCCGTAATATAACTCCTCGCTAACACCATTTCTGAGTTATGATCAATTATATATTAAATCAAAGTTTTCACAACGACGAGTCTAAATCCACTCTTAATGTGATTGTTCCGCACATCATTTTATTTTTCATCATTATTATATTTCATTTGTACCCGAGTTCTAAAACTATTAAAAGAATATTGCGGTTTTGTAATTTACAGAATCGAAAATTTTCAACCACTCTTTAAAAACCTCGCTTTAGAGAAGGACCGGGTCACTTACACGGTGTAAGCTCTAATTTATTGTCTTTTTTTTTTTAACGTCTGTTATTAATAAGAACCAATAGGAGTTTGAGACAAAGCAACACATAAACAATTAAAACAGAGACAAACCAAGAAAAACAGAGCAAGATAAAATGACACTCGAGCCTGATTTGAAACCTCTTCAACCTCGTCGTCGTTCTTCCTCAATGCGATTATGGAGCCACGCCGGTCCTCCTCTTGCTATGTAAGAGTTAAAGCGTCCTTCACGAACAACACTAGAAGCGATATCGCGAGCAAGAGCATTAGCCTTTGGTGACGAAAGTCTGAAACATATAGATTGCATCCCCTGCATCACCTGCAAAATTTTGTCAGTGAGGGAACTGTACTTTGGCCAGGCTAGTGGTTGTGTAATCGCTTGGATCGCCGCGTTACAATCAGACCAAATTTCACACGAATAGAGGTGAACATTGTGGAGGCTCTGTAAACACCATAAAATACACCGCAACTCCGCCGCAATTCTATTCACCATTGGAATGAAAGCCTCTCGCGCATGTAGAATCACTTCACCATTATGATCCCGTAACAACCAAGCTCCACCATAGTGTACAGTGTTTTTTACCCAGAAAGCATGTAGGTTACACTTTAATTGGCCCACAGCCGGCTTAACCCATCGTGTCGCCAAAACAGGACCCCGTCGCTGCAACCTCAAAATTTCTTGATCATTTAGAGCTTGCTGCTTCAGCCATTCATCTGATGCCTCCAAAGCTGTGACTAACACGAAGTTAGGGTCATTGGCTTTACCAGCATATAAAGTTGAGTTTCTGGCTTTCCATATCTCCCAAAGCAACCAAGGAAGCGCAGCTCTAGTTGTGGACGGAAGATCTGCTCGCTCCATTAAACTTAAAACATGTAGAATGTTCACTGTAATGGAGACTCCAAATCCTTGATCTGGATGTGGCAGCGTCGTTAAGTGCCAAACCGCTGCAGCTAGAGGACACTTGAAAAGCACATGGGTTATCGTTTCTTCTTCTACACGACATAGTGGACACATAGTATTCACTGCTAAGCCATGAGCCTGTAAACAATCCGCAACAGCTAAGGCACCAGATAAAGCTCGCCAAAGGAACATTTTAATTTTAGGAGCTGTCTGTAACTTCCAAATCCTCTCCTTGACTTTGTTAATAGTTTTAGTGTCCTCCGTGATTCCTTCCCTTGCAGTGACCTCATGATTGACCAACCAATGACCACTCTTCACAGAGTAATGACCCTCTTTAGTATACGCCCATACATGTCTATCTGGCTTAAGCGGTGCCGGTGGAAAGGACCGTATGTGAGTAACATCCTCCGGTGGAAAGAGCTCTGTTAATCGCGGAACATTCCACTCACCCTGTGGCGTAATCAAGCTGGAAACTCTGAGACTTATATCCATTAGCGAGTCTTTATTGATTGGTCGCCTTGGAGTACCATCAAAGAGCCACTTATCCACCCATACATAAGTAGACTGGCCATTGCCAATTGTTTTCATAAGACCTCTCTCAAGTAACTCCTTGCCAAACATGATACTCCTCCATGCATAAGATGGCCGATTGCCCACAGTTGCCTCTAAGAATGATTTATTCGCATAATATCTAGCCTTATACACTCTGGCTAATAAGGAAGTAGGCACATCAAGCAACCGCCAAGCCTGTTTAGCAAGCAAAGCTTGATTAAACCGGCCAATGTCCCGAAATCCTAGACCACCTTGCTCCTTGGATTTACATATCTTTTCCCAGGAAACCCAATGCATTTTATGCTTCTCCTCACTTTCATTCCACCAAAAATTAGACATGGCACTTGTGATTTTTTGGCATTGGTGTTTGGTCAAACGGAAACAAGACATGGCATAAACCGGTAAAGCCAAGGCCACCGACTTAATCAGGACCTCCTTACCACCTAAAGACAGAGTTTTCTCATACCACCCGGTCAGTCTTGACTTCAAACGATCTGTAATGAACCCCAAGAGCTCTCTCTTCGAACCACTAAAACATTCCGGCAGCCCTAGGTACTTACCAGTCCCTCCTTCTTGCTCAATACCAGAATAAAGGCCAATTAATCGCCGCATGTAAGGATCCAGCTTCTTCCCAAAGGTGATTGCTGATTTCTGAAAATTAATTTCCTGTCCTGAGGCCTTCCCATACAATTGTAAACACTGGAGAAAGGCGTTGCATTCCTTAAAAGTAGCTTGACAAAGAAACAGGCTATCGTCAGCAAAGAGTAGGTGTTGGATCGACGGGCAATCTGGCTTTAGTTTCAGCCCGGTTAGACGTCCATCTTGTTCCGCCTTGTTCATGATGTGGACTAATGCTTCCGCACAAAGAATAAAAAGGAATGGTGATAACGGATCACCCTGACGAATTCCCCGTTCTGGTTTAATATATCCATAGGATGCGCCATTGACTATAACAGAGTAACTTACCGTGCGCACACAGCTCATTATCCATTGCACCCATCGAATATCAAAACCCAACTTAATGAGAAGCTCTTCCAAAAAATTCCACTCAACCCGGTCGTACGCTTTAGACATGTCAGTTTTAATGGCTATGAAATCTTCATTGCAGTTTGGATTAGTTTGCAACGCGTGAACCATTTCATGAGCCAATAAGATGTTATCCGAAATCAACCTACCTGACACGAAAGCTCCTTGTGTATCAGAAACAATATCGGGCAGAAATTTCTTTAATCTGGCACATAGGATCTTGGAAACAATTTTATAAATCACCGAGCATAAACTGATGGGACGTAGGTCCGTCATTTTCGACGGATTTGGCTTCTTTGGGAGTAAACAAATCTGTGTAAAATTCCACTCGGCGGGAAGAACACCAGATTCAAAAAATTGTTGAACCTCTGTAATGACTTGTGATCCAACAATATCCCAATAAGCTTGATAAAAATGACCCGACATTCCATCAGCTCCTGGAGTACTATCGCCCCGAATACTAAACGCAGCCACTTTAATTTCTTCACTTGTGACCGGTTGCGTTAGCTTGTTATTCATTGCTTCTGTAACTCTCGGCGCCATCCCTTCTAAAGCTTCAGATATCCCCTCATGTGTAGAGCTTGAAAAGATTTTCCGGAAGTATGCAACAGCAATTTCCCCTTTGGAACCTTCTGCAAACTGTTCCAAATTATTATCATCAAAAAGAGATAATATTCTGTTTTGAACCCTCCGACGCTGTACACTTCCATGGAAGAACTTAGTGTTTCTATCACCTTCTTTGAGCCATCTTTCACGACTTTTTTGTTTCCAATATAACTCTTCCTCTCTATAAGCTTCCGCCAACTCCCACTTAAGCATTTGTAGCAAGCTACGGCTTGGTTGTGTGTTTCATACCTTCCTCATCTAACCTTTGACGCAGCTGGTCAATTCTTTTTTTGGAATTTTGGTTGGAAACTCTCTTCCATCGAGCAATCGATTTGCGGCAATTTGCTAATCTATGCATCAATGCTCGATAACCCGCCGCGTCATCTTTACACCAACCTTCTTTAACGATCTCCAAAAACTCTGGTTTTGAAGTCCAGCGCTTGTCAAACAAAAATCTTCCTCGACGAGACATATTTTCATTGACAAAACGAACAAAAACCGGACGATGATCAGATCCAATGCGTTCCAAGTATTCCGCTTGAGCTCGTGGGAATAAATGAAACCAGGCTTCATTGCCAAGAGCTCTATCGAGACGGCATTGAATCCAAAGATTATTGCGATCACCGGCCCATGAAAACCTGTTTCCAATACTCGGGACCTCCCGTAGACGGCAATCACTTATCATATTCCTAAATGGAAAAAAAGTGAATTCCGCCCGTGCTGGTCCACCAAGTTTTTCTGAATTGTCAACTATCTCATTAAGATCTCCCAAAACTAGCCAAGGATCATCTCGTGAATTGCCAATGTCAACCAAATTATCCCATACAACTTGTCTAAATTGAGTAACAGGATCTCCATAGACACACGAGATAAAAAATAAAAGAGATCCAAGCTTTACTTTGACATCAATAATTCTATGATCCGAATACAACACTTCCACTTCGTAAGCACCCTTCCAAAACAGGGCTAATCCACCACTTAAACCGATTGGATCGACGATATGTGACTTATCATAACCCATCCAACGTTGAACCTTCAAAACGTGACTACTGGAGTTTTTCGTCTCCATGAGGAACAAGAAATCCGGGAAATGTTCACGACGCATTTCCTTTAACGTGGGAATTGTCAAAGTGCCCCCCAATCCTTGACAATTCCAGCTCATAAAGCTCATATTTGAGTCGGCGGTTCCTCAATCGGAACCACCTTCTCGACATCGCGTTTAGCGATTTTTGAAACCACCAGTCCTTCCTCACTAGCTTTACGTTTTGATAAAACACCATCTTCACCTGATTTCTCCTGTAATGTCCCATGCGGACCATCTCCTTCCTTTCTCGCTTTCACCTGCAACGCTTGAGCTTTCCTCCTCCACTGGTTGGGACGATTGCGCTTTTTTGTGGCTTTTGACTTGATTCCGGATGAGCCAGTGACAAAACCAGCCTGAGGCGCCGTAGAACTAGCCGTGTGCTCATAAGCAGTACCATAAGCCGCAGAAGACACTTGTTGCAGTTGTCCAGTAGAGGGAACCAGCGCTAATCCGTTATCTCCAGTTTCTCGTGACGAAACAGAATGTTCAAAATCCATGACCAGGCCCTTACCTTTGTTCTCATCAGTTATGAATTGCACAGGAGGTTCAAGCCGCAATAGTGTTTTCTGACCCTGCGGATCTTTTTCCAAGTCCCAAAATGACTTGCGAACTCTCACTATACGAATCTTCTTTTCCTGCGGGTCGACAACAGAGAGATATTGCCTCATCTCATCTAGGACTTCTTTAGCTATCTTTGGCCTTCCGGATATCGGGTCGATCCCCACATCATCATTAGTAAGGACCCCAAATAAAGGATCATCCTTACTGATCTTTGGAATTAGCCGATGTGGAACAGTGCCTGCTACCTTAGTTCCTCCCGTAGCAATATTTTGCCGGTTTGAGGGATTAAAGGGGCATCTCTCCTTATCGTGAGTGAGGCGTTGACACTGGTAGCAACGTTTACGAATCCGCTCATACTCAATACCAATAGAAACCACCTCGCCAGTTGGTAGTTCAACATCTCTTGCATTCTTTAATGGTTTGTTAACATCAAAAAGTACACGAACACGGACAAAGCCTCTGCTCTGGGGTTTCAGAGGATCAAAAGCGACATGTGTGACTTGTCCAATATGCCCTGCAATCTCTGTAATGGTGTCCCGTGTGTTGTAGTTGACCGGAATATGTCTCAAGCGAATCCACAAGGGCAGTACTTTAAGGTAATCAGCAGGCGGAGTTTCAACCCATCGCTCAAGAGTCATACTCCAATCATTATAGGTCCATGCTCCCGCTTCCAAAACAGTCAAAAGATCTGACTCGGAGTCAAAGATGAACTGAAACTGATCGTTGGGCAAAGCAATTCCTCGGGATCTGTTAGCAACCCTCCAAAGTCGTGGCATCTCATGAATCATGTCCGACATCTTCTGGTTCTCCGGACACAGCAATCGACCGATTATGCTACAACCATTCCTTTCAACCGAACTATACTTAGGAAGATTCCTAAGCACAATGGGTTTATCATCTTCAAGTGACATCTCCTGCAAAGCCTTGTCGAGTGCGTATTCCATTCAGTTGTAGCAAGAACAGAACGCAGCAAAAACAGAGTAACGTCGTTGAAACTTGTGTTCTTCAAATAACCTAGAAAAAGCTTGGCGGCGGCTGAAAACTAGGTTAAACTTGTCGTCAGATCTTCCAATATTACCAAAACTTGCACAAAAACAGAAAAGATTTGATCAAATCCGGTGAAAAATGGAAATATTCCCGGTGTACTCAAGCTTCCTCAAAAGAGTTGAAACCCTCTAAATGAGAAAGAGACTCCTAAGCCCACTCCGTGGGATTCCCTCTCATCGTATTCAGTGAAATTTACTCTAATTTATTGTCTTTACTTCTAATATTGACATTATATATTTAATACAAATCAGTAGTACTTGTCCAATTAATAACATAGATATAAGGGAATTACATTTTATTTAATTCTCGCCAAAATTAAAAGAATTAACAGTAGATGGCGACTGGCAAGTAAAATAGAATTCCATGACAAGCGTAGTTTAACTGGTCTTCAGAATCATCAATCACATCAAAACGTCGTCACACACATATATATCAACTTCGAATTTCTCTATCAATTCCATACCCTATCTTTATCCATGAGGTTCCAACACTTGAACCATACTAGAAGCAAATCAAAATCGGTTCGGGTTTACTTTAGTTCTTATTCGGTTCGAGTAATAAATTTTGGAACCGAATAGGGATCGAATTGTTTCGGGTATTTTTGGAACCGAAAAAACAATGGAATCATAATACAAAATTCAAATGCAATTATGCAAGTATGCAATGCAACATAAAATATTAGTCATTATACAATTACAAATCCAAAAAAAAAATAGTTGAAAACTTGAAAATATTGGATCAAAAGACGCATGAAGTTTTAAAGATTGGATCAAAAAACTCAAAAACACCACAAAACCTGAAATAAAATGCACAACAAGACTTTAATTCAATAAAATAAAATGAAATTTGAATCACAAAGAATCGAACTGGAAAAAACAAATACATAAATAGATCATCTAGAGTCCAGCACTCCAGCTCCTTAACAAACCGTGAGTAAGCTTAATTCCCTTTGCTCCCAAACTCAAACTCTAAACAAATCAAAACAAACCATAGTTAGACTACACTGATTTACGAGTATTCAGACCCACACAGCTATGGTCTAGTGGTGGTTGAGAATTCGAGAAGATTGAAAGGAACTAACCCAGGTTCGATCTAACCTGGAAAGAAAATAAAACACATTTGTGTGGAAAGTCTAAGCTTGGGCCAAAAAAACCCAAGCAGTTTACCTGGTAGTTCAGTAACAGGCGATCTGGCTACCCCCAAAAATTAGTCGAAACACATTCCAAACTCGGGACAGACAGTGTGGTGGTCCTTCGGGGATAAGTCCACTACGAAGTACTTAGGTGTGTTTCTACCGGGGCTGACCGGATCAGCCGATAGAGTTTATACAAAAAAAAGTATTCAAGAAAATTGACAAGAGATATTACCTTTCTCAAGCTTGTCTTGATCTTCAATATCAGCAATCATTTGTGCCAAGTTTTCCATTCCTCTTTCACCTAAGTGATGGTCAGACTTAATCTATTGTTTGGTGCACATGAGAACCTCAATCATATAATGAGTGAGATAACTTCTTTGTGGGCTTACAATACATCCACTTGTACTGAAACAAGCCTCTGATGCGACAGAAGAAACTTGCATTGCCAAAAGATCTCTAGCTAGTTCAGATAAAACTAGAATTTTTGGAGTATTGACCCTCCACCATGACAATACATCATAATTTGTTTTCAAGTTGTTGGCCTTTGGATTTTCAACATTCTCACTCAAGTAGATACTCAACTCATTACTTGTATCATCACATCCTTCTTCATTGACCAGCTGACTGTAAACAACATCCATTGTTTCATATGCACCGACAATAACTTTATCTACAATCTCATCCGCATCATGATTTTTGTTAACTGACCCAACCTGAGATGCTGACCATTTCTTAGCTGAAAATCTCTCAGTTCTACTCTTGTAAGTAAGATTATACTCATCAAATAAGTTCTCCATCACATCTAAGACTGTCTTCAAGAGCTCTTTAGACTTTGAACAACCTTTACCATAAAGTATTTCAAAACAGAGTGTTGCAAACTTCATCATCTTCCTTGGATAAAAAACACTTGCAATTATCAATAATTTGTTGATATTCTCAAGTCCATCCCAATACTTTGAAAATTTATCCTTCATAGATGTAGCTTTTGTTTTCATCTCCTCATCAGAATTCTAGAAACATGCTAATCAAATTCCTTTCAATAAAGATAATCTCATTGTAGCATCTATGAAAGCACACACTATTAGATGCTAAGACAACTAATGTAGAGTTGTAGAATATTACTAGAAACTCAGCCAAACATTGTACCTTATCCCAATCAGCCTTCAAAGGGGGTCCTAACCTTTACTTCCCATTCTCTAGTTCAAAAAAATAGTCATTATAAAAGCTTGTCCTCAGCTTCCAACTCAAAAGCTAGCCTAAACTTAATTGCTCTATTCAACATGAGAAAGGTAGACTTCCATCTAGTCTCGCAATCTAAATATAAACTACCTCTACTCATGTTACTTGATTCAAGACGTTGCTCAAATGAATTTAGCCGATGACAAGAAGATCTCACATACACTACTCCATTCCGAATAGCAGATACACTATGATTCACTTCATGTAAACCATCCTTCATAATAAGATTCAGTATGTGAGCATAACAACGCATGTGCAAACAATCACCACCTAAAACCATTGATTCTCTTCCCTTTAACAAGAATGCTTCCTTAAAGTTCTTGAGAGCCGATGTATTGGCAGTTGCGTTGTCAACAGTTATGGTGAAGATCTTTTCTATCCTTCATTCATTCAGACAATCCAACAGAACATCTGCGATTGTTGCTCCTTTAATTATGATCCAATACATGTTTGAATCCAGAATAAAGTTTCTCAACTTCCAAGTCACATCAATGAACTGAGCAGTAATGACCAGATAAGTTGAACTTGTCGTTGGAGAAATCCAAATGTTTGTGGTGAGAGAAACACCTGCTGAGACTGTCTTTGCTGCCATGCCTTGTATTTTTTGTAAGGGGTCTTAAGATGTTTCTTTAAATTTGAAGTTCCAGATGTTGAAGCACAACTCTTCGCTTTCAGACATTAATGACACATACATTTACTCGGTTTATCCACTAATCTGGTGAAATGATTCCATACCTTAGACCTTGTCTTCAAGTTCTTCGCAGTCGCTTGGGAAGTAGCTCCACTTGTTTCCTCATATTGTTTCCTTTTGCCCCCACAAGTAATCAACTAGGACCATTATCATTGATGCCATAAACTTCTATTTCCTCTTATTCAAAAACGATATCATTGTTTCTCGACAAGAAAAAGGAGCCATCTTCTACAAATTAAACATGTAAACAAATGAAAATTAGGGTTTGAGTTATATGAAATCGACGATATCAAAAGAAATGAAATTAGGGTTTAAGTTATATGAAATCGACGAAATCAGAAATCAATAAATCATAATCGATTCTAATGTTAGATGAAATAAAAGAAATGGTTGCTTTTGTTAGATGAAATTGAAATTGAAATGTAAAGCTGACTTTTGCAAATTGAAAAATCGATTGAAGATGAAATAGAAATCTTACCACGAGTTATCTTCTATCTTCTGCTGCAGAGAAACTGACACAACACAAAAGGCTTTGTCTTCGATTTGCAATGGTTCGAAAGATAAAGTTTTTGTCTGTGTCTCCGTCTTTGAGAAAAAGAGAACAAACGAGGGTTTCTTTTTAGGTTTCAGCGCAAAGAGACAAAGAGATTAAAAGGCTAAGAGAGATAGATGGTGGGATGTTGGGCTTGGGTAGTTAGGATTAGGCCTAGATGGGCTTGGGTAGTTAGTATTAGGCCTAGATGGGCTTGGGTAGTTAGTATTAGGCCTAGATGGGTTTGGGTTATAGAAATATACGCTAATGGGCTATATTTTCGAGTACCCGAATGAATATCAACTCCTACCCGAACTGAACTGATACCCATGGATCTTTGTATCAAGATCCAATCGATATTTTCACTAGAACCAGAACCGTACCGAACCTATCAATTTCGGTTTGGTTCTATTTGGTTCCATATTTGTGCCCAGGACTACTTGAACCCATTGGTATTGATAGTTTATTCTTTTATTTTCAACTGATATGCTCAAACATGAGCCGATCCATTGATCATAATATAGTTCTCGGTAACGCTATGATTTCCATTATCTGTAGACCTTCATGCCTTCTCTTTATTTGTGCACTTCCACCATTCTACGACAGCCATTACGCTACTTATTAAAGCTTGAAAGATCATTTTACTGATCTTAGATATTATCACATTTTCTCGTGCTTTGTCATCACTCATATGGTATAAGAAATCATATCTTGGTAGTTAACCCATTCTAAAATCACTCAAATTCAGAAACATTAGTTTTAGAGTTCTATCATGATGATTGACAAAAAGATAAATGCATTTTGTAAGCGCTCCTCATTCACAACTCAATCTCTTGAACCACTTGTAATGCCACTATAGCCACCTTCCATGGGCTACCATACCCTCTCTCGGTCCGTGGGCCCACCCTCAACCGACGAGTAGTGCGTTACTTTCGAAGATTCGAATTATTAGTTTAATGACCGTACAAATCACTACAAAAGTTTCATGTTTTATCCTTAGTCGTACGGTACGAAAATCACTTTTCAATATGTCACCCATTTTAAAATTACTCCAGCTCCAATGCGTTTCACTAAAGAATTCTGCCAAATTATTAAATAACAAAATTAAGTGCAATTTTTTTTTTGTCAACAACTTTTAATTAAAATCCAAAAGAACCATTCCTGAGGAATGTTGTTTACATAAGTAATATGATGCGGTTCGGTACGAACTTTTCGTGCCAAATTATCCGCTTTTACATTTGCACTTCGAGATATTAAAGATAAAGAGAAGCTTGAGAATTTCTCCTTGTCGTTCTTAAAATCTTCCAAATACACTGAGAAGGCCGGCCATTCGGTTGGGAAAGACACTATCTTCACCAGGTCTGAACAGTCTGAAAAGAAAGCTACATCTTGGTTGTCGGCTCCAATCATACACTTCATCGCCCAGAGAAGAGCTTCCACTTTGGTATGTAGAGGTGAGAGACTTCTTCGGATATTGGCAGCTCCCATAGTTGGCGTCTCTCCATTTGACGATGTACAGAACCATCATGTTCCTGAAAACTTATCAGTCCCTTTCCAGGATCCATCCACGAAATAACGATATCCTGAGTAGATATTATCATGGAAAATTAAGTGCAATTTAGTGATATGAATAATCAAATCAATTTATAAAACTCTCCATGTGTTCTACAAAACAAATTTAGCACTAAAACATTGGAAAATCTTGAAGTTAGGTCGGCAAAATGGTTAAAAATTGGAGAAGAGGAGAATGGACTTAAAACACACAAGAAAATTCTCCAATTTATAACCGTTTGCCGACCTAACTTCAAGATTTTCTACCCCTTTTCACAATTTTAAAGCATGGTCTTCTTTTTCTCAGTTCCTAGAGATTTTTTATTCCAACTTTCAAATTGATCAAATTTCCATTGACAATAGACAAATTATAAACTTTTGAATTGATCAACATAATCCCAAGCATTTTTAGGTATTGCATGTTAAATCCTCGTTCTCAAAATCTGAATCGTTATGATTCCCTCGAAATCCAAAGTACAAAACGCATTTAACCCAAGTTAACTATTATACTTTTGATCAGTGTTGATGCACGAATCACAAAAGTACGAAAATTGAGATCTCTAGGAAAGAAAAAAGATTCTCTTATTATCAGTGAGCCGAGACTTTAACAAAGCGACGAGCTACAGAGGGTGATCTCGTCGAGGTAAGTAAAGATGGACTAAAAAGAAAACGAGATGCGTGCTGTGTTGATGGACGATATCGAAGGCTTCTTGCGATCCTCTGGTCTTCAAAACAGAGGGAATAGTGTCAGCGTACGATGCAGATCCCCTTTCGATAATTGCTATTTTCGTATTTATAGGGAATAGTGTCAGTCGTTAACCTGTTATGACACTTTTACCATTCGACCTAATGATGTCCCGCGTCCACTCAATCGCTTCATGGGCCGTTGGGTCTTTCTTGGGCCATTGTTTCTTGGGCTGGATTTTGTATGGGCTTTATTCTAACCCTTATTGAAATGGGCTTGAATAGTTGGGTTTGGCACATAACAATTATCCCCCAATCTTAGTTTCAAAACGTAATTTCGAACTGGGATTCCTACTTGGTTCAGCAGCTGGGGAAGACGAGGAGTTGCGCGTGACTTGGACGCAAGCGATGAATTCAAGCAACAGGAATCGAGGCGTCGAGCGTGGTGCAAGTGTTGGAGTCGAATCGTTGCAGCTCGTCGATTACGTAATGATTGCTTCTCGGTAAACACCCCTTTTTCCTTTCTATAAATACACCTCTCCCGTTTCACATTTGTTCATTCCATCCTCTACGTTCAAGGTATATTTTTTTGCTCTCTCTCGTTTCGTAAGTCTTTCCTTGGGTCGTCTTCTAGATAAGTACCAAGTCGTTGAGTATGAGCTCTCGAAACTCAATTTTCGACTGTCGCCATGATCGGACTCCCGAAGATTCACCGACCGACTCGCTGGCCATTGATCTCTTCCGAACCGATTCCCTTGACGATGAACGCCAATCCTCGGGCTTGTCCTCGAGCTCGTTTGATGACTTGATTGGCTCTTTTTCTGCGCCAGCCGAGTTTCGACACCAAGAAAGTTTATTGGAGCAGGATGCCGCTGCTCCAAGTTCGGCCGCACTGTTTTTTCCAATCATGTGGTTGAGGGATTAGGAGATCGACGATCTCAGGGCCGTCGATGATTATGCGTCTGTGGAAGAGGGTTTTGTTGTGCCGGGACCAGCTTCGGATGTAGCCGACTTCCTAGGTCCTACCAAGACGACAGCCGATATGTTGGCGTATGCGCTTGACTTCTCTCATGCTCTGCCGAGCCTGGAGAGGTTTACTCAGACAAGATCCGAGCATCCCTGGACGACTCCGAAAGAGTACTTTTGTGTGTATGAGAAATTTTTTACAAAGTGTGAGCTCTTTTTTCTTCTCCCAGGATTCCTTCTCACACTTTGTAAAAAATTTCTTGTCGGGATATGGCCATCTTGCAGTTTACTCCAACGGCTATTTCTAACGTCGTGGGGCATCGGAGATTGGCGGATTGGTGTGAGGTTAAGGTCGGTGCAATTTATTTTGAGGAGACGACCCGCCTCTCCAGGGTCGGCGATCACAAACCCGACACGTTCTACATCCAATCCTGTACTACACCTCGGTTGGTGATAGATGCCAAGGGGAAGACGTACAATATAATGCTCCGACCGCCATCTCTTTTAGTGGGCCCCACGTCCTTTCTCGGCTCGTGGACCCGCCATCTTCCGACGGCTAGTCGCTATGTTTAGAAGGCGTTAAAGACTTGCTACAAATCACCACATGAACTTTTTATGTGTTTTGTCCTCACTCACACAGTTTCGACAATCATTTCTCGGAAGGTCACCCATCATGAAATTGCTCCAGCTCAAGCACCCTTAACTGTGGAGTTCTCTCAGGACAGTTGACCGAAAAGATAAGTGCACTTTGGTGACATAGGTGGCCAAATCAATTTTTTTAAACCTCTCTGCATACACTACCATATTCCTAAAACCGGAGTGTTACAAATATATGTTCAGTTATTAGACATTCCAAGTTTTCCACCAACTGATTCCAACACGAAATCTGAGCCAACTAGTCAAACCTTTCAGCTATAACAGATAACATGTGGAACAACCTAAATGTACTAGAAAAAAGACTTTGGCTTTTTGCCGTGAGTTAATTAGCTGGGAGACCATATATCCAAGTGAAATAAAATTTTTGGTATTATGGTCACATGCCTGAGACAACAATAATTTTCGCCCATCTTTATCCCCAAACTAACCCTATATATATGATGTCTTGTTTTCATTTTAATTTATGATTTTTGGATCTCTATTTTTTCTTATTTCTCTCTCTCTCTCTCTCTCTCTCTCTCTCTCTCTCTCTCTCTCTCTCTCTCTCTCTCTCTCTCTCTCTCTCTCTCTCTCTCTCTCTCTCTCTCTCTCTCTCTCTCTCTCTCTCTCTCTCTCTCTCTCTCTCTCTTTCAGCTCTGTTCTAATTCATTCAAACCGAGCAGGAAAACAACGTCGTAGTTACTATTCACACTGCCGTATCAGAAAATTATATAGTAAATTTATTCGTCGGAAGAAACAACTTTCACATTACAAATAAAGATCTACAACAATGTTGAGATCTCCACATATAGATCTACAAAGCATAGCAATATCCCTTTGGAGATGGACGATAAAAGCCTCATGTGTTCCTTTGGGATAAACATGTCAATTAATAGTTATCTATAAATTTAAATACATGTTCATACATTTTCATAGAATTATAACTCGAACTATTTCGTGCTTAATTTATTAATAGATATCTACGCAATTAAATTAATGGTATAAAATTTTTAATTTCTGCCCATACGTTTTTGTTATATATCCAAATTAAAGTCGGTCGCATTTAATAACCGTCATCTCCTCCTACCAGTTGCCTAGTAAAAGTCAATTTAACTATTGAACATTTATTAAATGTCAATTTTTTTTCTTCTCCTCCATGCGCAGTAACAATACATGCATAAGTTTTTTTGTAATAACTCACAAAACGAAACTCTTTTTAACGTTTTTTTGGACGTGGTCGGGGACAAACATCCTAATACTTATTTCCTAATTTCCTTTCCTATTTTTCTTTCGGCGCTAATTCACCCTTTTGCCATTTTAAAAAAAAAATAGAAATAAGATATAACAAAATTCTATAATTATCTAAAAATACAAAATCATCAGTAACAAAAATCATTGATGGGACTATCTATTGACAAAGAGTTATAAAGAAAAAAAATATTATTTTATTATTTTATCAAATTATGTTAATTATTACACTTGTCTAACTCAAAACCTTAAAAAATGATTAATTTAGGGTTATTTTATTTTAACAAATATTAGTTTATTAGGGTTTTCGTATATATCTTTAAAAGATGCCGTGAAGAATATCTTGTATATAAAATTGACTTTTAAGTTATATAAGTTGCACAATCTAATCATATACCATAGGATTGGAAGCGAGAGACTTTTCTGCGCCATGTTTGCTACTATTTAAAACAAAAAGAATAATAAAATGGCCACAAACTAAAAAGATAATAAACGTAGTTAGTTTGTACGGCATAGTTTCTGAGAAAACTTCAATCATATTGTGTTCAGAACGATTAGAATATGTCAAAATAAACAAAACTAGGATTCTTTATTATGTTTTTGGCTGGTGGGAGGAGTCAGGAGCATCTATAAAGTAAATTCATGCTTCTTGTTATTAATGGATTAAGTCTTCTCTCAAAATATCTCTTGTTTACTTATTTCTTAACAATGAGTTCTCCACCCAATAAATCTGCAGATGGACCAGGTATGTACGGTGTGGTTAGTATTTTCATGAATTAACAGATTTAATTTGTCTTGGGGTTATATGGATGTAATTACTAATCTATGTTTGTTTCTTTTATTTTTTATGACGATGGTTTGATACATTAATTATTATAATCTTGTATGAACGAGTTTATAGGATATTAATGTAAATTGTTTATATATATGCAGGTGATGATGCAAAGAAGCCTAGGTCCGAAGACAAGCGAGAAGGTGATGGGTACGGGCGCAGAAAGGTAAATAATTCATTCATATAATTTTCAAGATACGGAAGAAATGTGAACATGTTTTTTTTTTTTCCCTTCATCAGTGGACGGCTCCCAAAGACGAAAAACCAAACACAGAAGAGAAACCAGAGACCAAAGAAGACCCAAAAAAAGAAGAAACGTCAAAGAATGGAAAGTGAAAAAGTCATAAAATGAAGATGATGTGTGCGTTGTACACTGTTAGTCTGAATAAATGCTGCTACTTTTGTTTGAATAAAATGCATCTAATTTAAATATATCTGATACTATGTACTAATATGGTCTGATTTTACACGGTAAACTAGATCATAACCTGTACTAAAGTACGAGCTGAATTTCATTTATTACAAAATTTATATATTAGAATTATAATATTATAATCTTGTATGAACGAGTTTATAGGATATTAATGTAAATTGTTTATATATATGCAGGTGATGATGCAAAGAAGCCTAGGTCCGAAGACAAGCGAGAAGGTGATGGGTACGGGCGCAGAAAGGTAAATAATTCATTCATATAATTTTCAAGATACGGAAGAAATGTGAACATGTTTTTTTTTTTCCCTTCATCAGTGGACGGCTCCCAAAGACGAAAAACCAAACACAGAAGAGAAACCAGAGACCAAAGAAGACCCAAAAAAAGAAGAAACGTCAAAGAATGGAAAGTGAAAAAGTCATAAAATGAAGATGATGTGTGCGTTGTACACTGTTAGTCTGAATAAATGCTGCTACTTTTGTTTGAATAAAATGCATCTAATTTAAATATATCTGATACTATGTACTAATATGGTCTGATTTTACACGGTAAACTAGATCATAACCTGTACTAAAGTACGAGCTGAATTTCATTTATTACAAAATTTATATATTAGAATTATAATATTATAATCTTGTATGAACGAGTTTATAGGATATTAATGTAAATTGTTTATATACACTACAAGAAAACAGGCGATTACCGACTACAGCAGCCGACTATTCACGTAGTCGCCAATTTTAGCGACTATCTTGCTTCTTTTTTACGACTATTAAACGACTACAGCAAAGTAGTCGTAATTTAGTCGCCAAATAGCGACAAAAACCGGTTGTCAGTAATGTAGTCGGTATATGGCGACTATTTACCGACTAATAAGTTGAATATATATCTTAGTCGTATATTAGTCGCTATTTTGGCGACTATTGTCTGACAACGTCTGTTAGTCGCTATTTTGGCGACTAATTTACGACTCATTCGGCGTGTCGTAAATTAGTCGCCAAATAGTCGCCAAGTAGTCGTATTTTACAGTTAAAAAAACACGTTTTTTTCGTTTGTGGTAGGTGTACCGGTTTTTTGGCGACTACAGATTTTAGTCGCCGTTTAGTCGCCTAAAATTGTCTATATAAAGAAAACAGCACTCAATCTCTTCACTCATCTCCTCTCGACTTCACATAAGAAAAAAAAAAAAAACAAATTCGAAAAAAAAAACGAATTTGGAATAAACACTTTTCAAAAAATTAGTTTCTTTATATTTTATTGGTAATGGCGGGAAATTACAATTATGGCGGTAATGGTGGTTATCGGGAGTGGATGTACAAGCGGTTCGACGAAGTGACGGGAAATTTGTCAGCAGAGTACGTAGCCGGTGTGCAAGAATTCATGACGTTTGCTAATAGCCAGCCTATAGTACAGAGTAACCGCGGTAAATTTCACTGCCCTTGTAGTGTGTGCAAGAATGAAAAACATATGGTTTCGGGTAGAAGAGTTAGTAGTCATTTGTTTAGTCAAGGATTTATGCCAGATTATTATGTTTGGTATAGACATGGGGAAGAACTCAATATGGATATAGGTTCGAGTTACACTGATAGGACATATCTAAGTGAGAATCATGAAGAGGTGGGTTATGTTGTAGAAGATCCTTATGTGGATATGGTGAACGATGCATTTCGTTATAACGTGGGGTTTGATGATAACTATCAACAGGATGGTAGTTATCAGAATGTCGAAGAACCAGTACGTAACCATTCAAATAAATTCTACGACTTGTTAGAAGGTGCACAAAATCCATTATACGATGGTTGTCGTGAAGGTCAATCGCAGTTATCGTTAGCTGCTCGACTCATGCAAAATAAGGCGGAGTATAATATGAGTGAGAAGTTAGTGGATTCGGTTTGCCAAATGTTTACAGATTTTCTACCAGAAGGAAACCAAGCAACGAGTTCACATTACCAGACCGAGAAATTGATGCGCAATTTAGGCCTTCCGTATCATACGATTGATGTTTGTGTCAACAATTGTATGCTTTTTTGGAAAGAAGACGAAAAGGAAGATCAATGTCGGTTTTGTGGTTCACAAAGATGGAAGCCTAAGGACGATCGTCGAAGAACGAAAGTACCATATAGTCGTATGTGGTATCTACCTATTGGTGACCGATTGAAGAGAATGTATCAGAGCCACAAGACAGCAGCTGCAATGCGGTGGCATGCCGAGCACCAATCAAAAGAAGGAGAAATGTCTCATCCTTCAGATGCGGCGGAGTGGAGGTATTTCCAAGCACAAAATCCCCAGTTTGCCGAAGAACCCCGTAACGTTTATCTTGGATTATGTACCGATGGGTTCAATCCATTTGGCATGTCTCGTAATCATTCGTTGTGGCCTGTGATCCTGACTCCATATAATTTACCCCCCGGTATGTGCATGAATACAGAGTACTTGTTTCTTACAGTTCTGAATTCTGGGCCAAATCATCCGCGAGGTAGTCTCGATGTCTTCCTCCAACCTCTTATTGAAGAGTTAAAAGAGTTGTGGTCTACTGGAGTCGATGCATACGATGTGTCATTGAATCAAAATTTCAATCTAAAAGCAGTACTGATGTGGACGATAAGTGACTTTCCGGCGTATAGCATGTTATCAGAATGGACCACCCACGGTAAACTCTCTTGTCCAATATGCATGGAAAGTACAAAGTCTTTTTACTTACCTAATGGAAGGAAGACATGTTGGTTTGATTGTCACCGAAGATTTCTTCCTCATGGTCATCCATTACGGAGGAACAAAAAAGACTTTCTGAGGGGAAAAGATGCTTCTAAAGAGTATCCACCTGATTCTTTAACCGGTGAGCAAGTTTATTATGAGCGGTTGGTAGGTGTAAATCCGCCTCGAACGAAAGACGTTGGTGGTAACGGTCATGAAAAGAAGATGGCAGGCTATGGAAAGGAACATAATTGGCACAAAGAAAGCATATTATGGGAGTTGCCTTACTGGAAAGACCTCAATCTTCGACATAATATTGATGTGATGCATACAGAGAAGAATTTTTTGGACAATATCATGAATACTCTTATTGGTGTGAAGGGTAAATCAAAAGACAACATCATGTCAAGATTGGATGTGGAAAAATTTTGTTCTCGGCCAGAGTTACATATTGATAGAAAGGGCAAAGCTCCATTCCCAGCATACACATTGACTAACGAAGCGAAAAAGAGTTTATTGGAATGTGTGAAAAACGCAGTTAAATTCCCGGATGGTTATTCGTCAGATTTGGCTACTTGTGTTGATATGGAGAATGGTAAGTTTTCAGGCATGAAGAGTCATGATTGCCATGTTTTTATGGAGCGACTACTTCCATTTATCTTTGCTGAACTCCTTGACCGGAACGTCCACCTTGCGTTATCAGGTATTACTAATTTTATATTATTTGTGACTACTTCCATTTACCTAACACGTGCATCGTCTAATGATGTAAATATATAAATTTTAGGTATTGGAGCATTTTTTCGGGACTTATGTTTGAGAACTTTGCATAAAAGTCGAGTCCAAATTCTAAAACAGAACATAGTCTTAATCTTATGCAACTTGGAGAAGATATTTCCGCCATCATTTTTTGATGTGATGGAACACCTGCCTATACATCTCCCATACGAAGCTGAGTTGGGCGGCCCAGTCCAATATAGGTGGATGTATCCCTTTGAGAGGTTTTTCAAAAAGCTGAAAGGAAAAGCAAAGAACAAAAGATATGCGGCAGGATCAATTGTAGAATCATATATCAATGACGAGATCGCTTATTTTTCAGAGCACTACTTTGCCGATCATATACAAACAAAATCAAGGTAAATGAATGCATATATATATATCTCTATTTTAATGTGAACTATGATTATATAACTCATTTATTTGAACCAGGTTAACAAGATTCGATGAAGGTGAAGTCCCTGTATATCATGTCCCTGGAGTACCTGAGATATTTATGCAAGTCGGACGTCCAAGTGGGGAAATGAAAGAAGTATGGCTTTCAGAGAAAGACTACGAAAGCGCACATGCATATGTTATTCGTAATTGTGACTATTTTAAACCAATTGAGAGGTATAAAACATATCTCCATTATCATTCTTTAATTTACAATATCGAAATATATATGATTATTCATATATTTTCTTGTTTTGTGTATATATAGTATGTTCGAGGATTTTCTTTCTGCAAAATATCCAGATTTGACAGAAAAAGAACTCTATGCGAAAAGAGCTGAAGAATATCATTTATGGGTTAAAGACTATGTATGTCTACATAATTTTCATTAGTTCTCCAGTGATCATTAATTGACCTCAATCTTTCTAAATGTGACTATTGATGGTTGTTCATATATGTAGGTTACATATTGGAACGCTAGTTCTCCGTTTCCTACTTGGGTTCAAGAGATTGTCCACGGACCTTTGAACAAGGTTAAAACTTGGCCAATGTATTTTACAAGAGGCTATTTGTTTCATACGCAGAATCACGGTGCTGGACGAAAGACATGTAACTATGGGGTATGTGTTAAAGGTGAAAATTACGCGGATTCATCAGATGAAGCGGATTTCTACGGGACCTTAAATGATATCATGGAACTCGAGTATGAGGGAATGGTCAATTTGAGGATCACACTTTTTAAGTGTAATTGGTATGACCCTAAACTCGGTAGAGGCACTCGGCGTAGCAATTCTGGCATTGTGGACGTTCTAGCATCGAGGAAATACAATAAGTACGAGCCATTTATTCTAGGTACGTACAATTGTATAAATTCAATTTTAAGATCACACTTTTGATGGATATATATGCCACTTATGCGAGTCTTTTGCAGCCTCTCAAGCAGATCAAGTTTGTTATATTCCATATCCATATACGAAGAAACCAAGGAACATTTGGCTCAACGTTCTAAAAGTAAATCCGAGGGGAAACATTTCAGGAGAATATGCCACTGATCCGACTCTTTTGCAAACAGAAAATGATGATGCTGTTTTGATGACTACAATTGAAGATGTGTTGCTTGACAATCCAGTAGTGGGATTAAACCCAATAAACCTCGATTACGATGTCGGAGATGCAGATCCAGAAGATGAATTTCGATGTAATTTATCATCTTCTGACGATGAAGAACAAGAAGACGAAGAACCGTAATAATTATTTGTGTTACATATATATATATATAAGTCAAAAAACTTGAAATCATAATATGTTTAATTATGTTAAATAAATGAACTATGTACTATATTGTTTAATTAGTGTTGAATTTTTATTTTAAACTAAATTTTATGTTCAATGTTATAAAAATTGTAGAAAGAAAACAAATTTTAATTGGGCCAGAAATAGGCCCATGCCCAATTGGCCGTGGTTATGTTTGCGAGATTTCTAGAAAACCTAAACACTTCTCGAATCCCCTATCTTCTTCATCTCAAACCCTAGCCGATCTTCTCTCTCAGTTTCTTCTATTTCCTCTTCCTCGCAAACCCTAGAAGCTCCAATCTCTCGCGCTTTAGTCGATTCCTCTTCCTCGCAAACCCTAGATTTCAAATCTCCTTCTTTTCTTCGATTTCCCAACAAAGATCTCTCAGTCTCTCTGTGAAACGATGGCTGGAAGAGGAAGAGGAAGGAAGAGACATAACACTCCAAACATCGCTCAGAGAGCCGCCGGAAGTCCTGGTGGACGACCTAATACTCTACCGGCGCAGTACAACTTCACGCCGGCGGTCCAACATCCTCCTCAGCTGCAAACGCCTGAAGTACAACCTCCTGTTTTGCCAGTACAGTCGAGGACAGCCCATCTTCGGAACTATCCACCGCCGCAACAACTTTTCCAGCACTCTTTCACTCCACAACGTGAACCTCAAGTAGGAAGGACGCCTTCAGAAGAAGTACTCCAGAACAATCAACAGCCACCAGCCACTTCTCAGCAGGCTGCTCCGATTCTTGAGCAGGAGGCTCCGCCTTCTCCGCCCCATAACTCTCAGACTCACAGTCAGCCATCGTCTCAAGGCAACAACTTCGAGGAGTTTCCTCCGGTGTTGCCGGAACTCCAGGAAGACTCACTGCAGGCTCTCAACGACCTACTTGCGGTGCCTGGCAGGGAGAAGCACACCACCGTCCTCAATCCCGAGCCCATAGACAAAACTTCATGGTATGATCTTATTGCTTGTGTTGTTTGTTGTAACGAGTTATGGTTTAAAGGTGTCAAGAGTGTTTCTTGTCTTCTGCGTACTGTAGTGATGTCTCTGTTTTGCTTTGAATCACTTAATTGTTTCTTTATTAAGTGTCTCCGACTGTTTATTCTTTCATGTGTATCTGTGCTGACTTGTAGACTAATGGTGTGACTGTGCTGACTTGTAGACTAATGGTGTGACTGTGTTGTAAGAGTTGTGGTCTGATGGCTTATGAGTTTTGTTGAACTAAGAGTCTGAATTATGACTTGTGCTTTTCTTATGCGTATTGTAATTGTTTCTCTTTTTTGCCTTTGTATTATCTGCTTGTTGATTTATAATTGCATCTCACTGTTTGTTTTTCTTGTGTATCGAGGTTTACCCGAGACACGGGATCGAGACTTGTTCGGAAGATAACCAAGGTTTTTACAAACAAATTTGATGGTCCATTCTACAGCTGGACATGTGTGCCTCGTGATAAACAAGAGAGATACTTCCTCGAGTTTGCGGTAAAGTTTGCTGTCCTATAGTTCTTCAATATGTTTGCTTGTCCTCTGTTCACTAATAACAGTAGCTTTTTTTTTTGTAGAAAACCCACACCTGGGATCCTTTGATAACAGGGACTGTCCAATATTATTTTGAGTACATCTGTGGAAAGCGGATGAAAGACATGGTTAGTGGTGTTAGGACTAGTCGAGAGAAACCTACTTGGATAGGAACGACCCTCTGGAAAACAATGACTGATTTCTGGGACACTGAGGAAGCACAGGCAAAGAGTCGCACCTACTCCAAGGTCCGTTTGTCTGACCGTAACGGTCTCGGTCCCCACAAACACTTCTCAGGGCCTAAGTCATTTCAGCAAGTTGAAGCTGAAATGGTGAGTCTACTTTCTGTCTTTGCCACTTTTTATTCTGACCTATCACTTCTTATTAACCCTTGTTTACTTGGTTATATTGCAGGAAGAGGAATTGGGAAGACCGGTCAGTTTTGGTGAAGTTTTCATCAAGACACATACGAGGCCTGATGGTACCTTTGTTGATCTGAAGGCGGAGAAGATTGCAAGGACATACGAGAAGAATGTGCAAGAGAGGTTGTCTGAGCTCGAGGCAGCTAGTTCTGCTGTTTCAGATGGAGCTTCACGGCCACGGGAGCTCACAGCTGAAGAATGTACACTAATATTTCTGCAGGTGACGTTTTATTTTTCCCAATACACATTTATAGTCTTGGAGTTCAATTTTTCATGTGCTAATCTCTGGTTTTATCTTAATTTGCAGTCCACTGACAGGGATTCAAGAGGTAATCCTTATGGAGTAGGAAGCCTCAAGGATTCTATTGTCAATGGCAAGCGAAAGCATCCAGGTGACTCCTCTTCCTTTCGGAGCCTGCAAGAACAATTGAAGGAAGCACAACAAAAGATAGAAGAGCAGGCTGCGCGTGAAGCTCAGCAGAAGGACAAGCTCGACAACTTCTCCATGGTGGAGAAGTATTTGCGCCAAACTGATCCTCAGTTCCTGAATTGGATCGCAAATCATTCAGCTCAAGAGACTGCCACAGCCCCTCTCTCAACCTCTCAATCTCAAAATAATCAAGCTACATCTCCATCACCATCTGGTGAATAGGTTTCTGTTTCTGTCTCTTCCCCCAAGAACTTGGTTTAACTTTTTAGATTCTGTAGACTTGAACATGTGTTTTGTTTGGTTTTAAGTTTGGTATGAACATGTTTGGTTTGAAGTCAGACTTGTTGTATAAGTACTGTTCTTTTGGTATTATATTATATATGTACTGTTCTTTTGGTATTTGGATTTGTTTTTGGTTTTGGTTTTGTTTATTAGAATTACAATTAGGAACAAAACATTTTACAAATGGGTTTTTTTTTTTCGTAATTACACAGTAGTCGCCAAATAGTCGTTTCATGTAGTCGCCAAATCGTCGCCAATAAGTCACCAATCATAACGACTAATGACATTCGCAATCGCTTCATAGTCGGTAAAAATAGTCGCTTATTAGTCACTAATTTTTAACGACTATTTACCGACTACACGAAATGACACTGGCCTAAAGCATATTAATCGGAAAAACGTCGTATATTAGTCGCTAAAAGTTACGACTACGTGACGACTATGTTACGATTACTACAGTTAATAGTCGTTATTTAGTCGTATAATTACATTTAGCGACTAATTGCCGACTAATCAAGTAGTCGTTAATGAGCTGTTTTCTTGTAGTGATATATGCAGGTGATGATGCAAAGAAGCCTAGGTCCGAAGACAAGCGAGAAGGTGATGGGTACGGGCGCAGAAAGGTAAATAATTCATTCATATAATTTTCAAGATACGGAAGAAATGTGAACATGTTTTTTTTTTTTCCCTTCATCAGTGGACGGCTCCCAAAGACGAAAAACCAAACACAGAAGAGAAACCAGAGACCAAAGAAGACCCAAAAAAAGAAGAAACGTCAAAGAATGGAAAGTGAAAAATTCATAAAATGAAGATGATGTGTGCGTTGTACACTGTTAGTCTGAATAAATGCTGCTACTTTTGTTTGAATAAAATGCATCTAATTTAAATATATCTGATACTATGTACTAATATAATAAATATATTTTTTATATAATACTCAATTGTGGATAATTTTCTTAAGATATGAAAATGGAAAAAATCTAATTTTAAAATTTTTTATATTGTTTGAACAATGAGTTAATTTATGTTAACAACCAGCACAAAATAAGATTACATATAATTCAGTTAGATCAAAAACCAAAATATCATATGAATCGCATCTAAAACGTAGATTATTTTGAATTAATTGAGAAAGCTAGCAATTATTTTGAATTAATTTAAGAATTTTCTTTTTCAATTTGTAATCTTTAGTTGTTAAAATAGAGATTTGTTTGAGCTAATTACAGAATTTAATAATTATTCGCATAAACGAATATATTATAAACATATTTTTAGTATATAATAATATCAAATTCAACCCGTGAATGGAGTCTATATTTTCATACTTGAAGAAGAGCTTCGAGAATTCCAGGACCAAATACCGGAGAAAGTTTGCCAAACTCACACAATTATATCCATATTCAGATTTATACAGTATAACCTCTATAAATTAATACTCGATAAATTAATACTTCGATAAATCAATATATTTCTTCGGTCCCAAATTTGGTTTTCAAGATAATTAGTATATCCATAAATTAATATAAAATATCATAGTCCCAACTGTATTAATTTATAGAGATTTTACAGTAATTAATCAAAGTTAACTATAATAATTTCACAATGAATAGCAACATTTGAAAATAAAAACTATGTATCTTTCTTTTTTTTTGAATTTAAAACTACGTATCTTTCAATATTTTAGTACTCCATTTTAACATTATATATATACTAGATGATGTGTCCACGCCTTGCAAACCTCGTCATGTGAATATAATCAACAAACATATCAAACAAACCTAAAGGCAATTCATTTAATTTAGACACAATTCATCAAAGAGGTGATGAACACTAAACTTTTATAATTGACATTTTTGACAATCCTTAATGACCAAAGACAATAAATGTTTATTTATTAACAATCCGATCAAAACCATTGGACTACTAAAGATCAAAAAAAAAAAAAAAAAGAGACATTGTGAAAACAAAACAATATATATATATATATATATATATATAAATTCATGAAGACCGCAATTATGTAAGATTTTTACTTTTAAATAAAGTATGGGTTAGCAATTTTATCAGCTTACCTTACTTAATATGTTGACCCATATGAGCAACTATTGTATCCGACATGATTTAAGGTCTTATTGAATCACAAAGCAAACGAATGTAAACCATGTTCCGGTTATTTTTCTAACTATTAATCAATCATTAAATTTATATAATAATAAGGGTATCCTAATAATAATAATTCCAATAAATGGTTTGTGTATTTGTGAACAGTTATGTCTTTTTATCGGAACATGTTTTTAATTAAAAAATATATTTTACCGCTGTGTTTTTTCCGAAAGTTGCAATCCAAATAAATGCCTTCCATGGTTGCGTCTTCTGAACGTAACTTTTCAATTTTTTGTTTATTTGGTAAACCATTGCAACTTTTAGTTATTTTATAAATCTTTATAACATTTAGTTATCTACAGTCGAATCTTTTAGTGTAGTTTTTATAAATTATTTTATTAATTATTAAAATATATTAAAATAAAAAAATCTATCTTTTCAGTGAATTCTCTAGGATTTACAATCTTTAAGATTTAAATTTTGAATTATTTTAAAAAATTCATTTGTGTGGATTTAAAAGCTCTCGAGTATTTGTTGGATTTTAATTAAAATAATTTACACATAAAAATCTATGAGATTTCATTTCTATGAGATTTCATTTCAAATAATTTAGATATACAAAAATTTTACAAGTTATTTCATTTTGAATAAAACTGAATTTTAGAAGAAAAAATTTAATTTTAGTTGAATAACACGAGATTTTAAAACATGATGTAGAATCACTAGTATGGATTGAGGCAAAGTCCCTTAAATAATAGAGGCTATTGTACCCTCTCATTTTTTTTTATATATGACAATTTGCACCATTATATTCATAGAATAAGATCTTGAAATTTTCATAGTTACAACTTACAAGACTCTTTCTGCTTTTATATTTATAGTAATACAAATCATAATAAGTTTGGAACCTGTAAGAGACTGAAAGCCTCATTCCAAAGTTCGATCACAACAGTAAGTTCTTGATCTTCTTCCTCGTTCCATTGCTCAATTAAAACAGTTAATTGATATCTATCTATCTATCGGAATAAATATATTACATGACCTAATGAAACTGAGAATTACAAAAAAATTCAAATGGAGTTACAACAAATTATCTTCTCTATGATCTGACGATTCTTCTATCTTTAGTTATAGACGTTATTGTTGAACTATACTAAATATCTATATGGAAAAAAAAAACATGTTGCAGAGATACTAAAGGTCTTCATATATCTATCGAAGATGGGATCTAAAGAATGTTGCATTTACAAAGTGCCAAGCCAATTGCGTGAAGTGAAACCGGCTGCCTATACACCTCGGATACTCCTCATCGGCCCGCTTCATCATTTTGCCAAACCAAAAGTATTTGAGCGCGACATTGAAGCAAATAGTCTTATGGAGGATCTTAAAAATGGCAATTCAAGGTACATAAATGTATACCCATGGGCCATGGCTGTATTGTTTTTGTTTTTGGATATTGTTTTGTGTTTATAAATTAAAAATTAAACTAATGCGTGTTGATAAATACACTTGAGTCAAGTTATGCAAATATACAAAATATACGACGCAAAACAGCTATTTTGTAGTTATATGATATTTACAAACTGTATTAAAATATACCACATTATAATTTTGAATCATTTTATATAACTACAAAATATATTCACGCAACATACCCTCTCTTTTTTGCCAACTCACAAAAGATACCTTTCATCTCAATATTTAATTCGCTTTATCTCTTACTTTTTATTTTTTTAAAATAAATTTTACTCTTAGTTTTCTACCACTGCTTTGCTAGAAAAATATTTCATGTGTATTAAAAATCCAACCTTATGAAATGCCTCCAACAAAAGTGTTCTTGACTGGTTCTCGATTTTTAATTTACTTTTGTTAAGAAGACTAGCAGCATTATGTAACACATATAATAATTCTCGATTCGTCTAGTTATTATAAATATTAGGTTATATAAAACTAAAACAACAAACCTAACTTCCTAGTACATGTCAAAGACTATACATTTCGTACACATACATATTAAACTATGATTAACGCTTCAAATAGAGAGAACATGTCGTGGTGCATATAAATTAAATTAAACGAATCATGCGGATCATGATCAAACGTATCAAGTTGAAAAAGTGCGAATTAAATTGATCAGACAGTTTTTTTTTTTTTTTTGGTAAGGAATTAATTTATGTTTAATTGGAAAAGAAACTTAAAAAGCGGTTTTAAATAGTAAAAACATTTCTTGGAGGAAAACTTTTAAATTATTTTCTAGATAATGTTATAATATGTTGCTATGATTGTACTTTAAAATTCACAAAAGTATTTACTTTATAATTTATAGTTATAACTTTGTGATATTTATCACAAAAATTGATGGATCATGTATCTTTATTCATATGTAAATCCATATAGATTGCTTGTGTAATAAAAGGACCTACTACAATCACTATCACTTGGGCGTTCGGTTCCGGGTAGATCCATTCGATATCATGTATTTTGGGTAGATGAGTTTAAGATCTATTCGGGTATTTTAAAATTTCGTTCGTTTCGGTTCTTGCTACTCAAAATATTAGAAATTATTTTTTAAAAATGGTTAAATTTGAATAAATTTGGTTAAATTTTTACGTATATAACTAAGAACTTTCGAATATTTTGGTTATTTCTTTTTTTATCAACCACATATTTATTAAAAAATAACTCCTTGATTGGTTGCCCAATTAGGAGGAGATGAGTTTACAAAAGTAATTTTAAAAAATAAGAAATATTTTGATTATTTCAATCTAAAAATAATATATATTTTCTGGTTTATAATTCAAATTTTGGATAATTGGGTTATAGAAAGTCTTAATATAATTACTATTTTGCATATATAATTATAGTTAGGGTATTTGGGTACCCATTCGGTTCTCGGTTCGAGTTCGATTTCGGTCCTTCAGATTAAATCAGATATAGGAGTCCGGATCAGTTCGAATATTTTGTCAGTTTCGGTTCGGTTCAATTCCTCTTATTTGTTTCGGTTTCTGCTCTGTTTTTTTTTTTTTTTTTTTTTTTGCCGAGGCCAAATCCAAACTGTCACTAATTCAGAGTTTTAAATAATTTGGTTAAATTCGCACAAAAAAATAATAATAATAATAATAATAATTTGGTTAATTTTCTGAAATTTTAAAAACAAACGTAAATCTCACTATTTAAATCAACTCATACATATTTAAAACAAAAACTCTAAACATAATATAATAATATACCATGAAAATTTATGGCCACTCTTTTCGGGTAATTGAACGCTGCAAATGTTTTTGTGTTTCATGACCAAAAACAAGAATCTGCAGTTTAATCGCACTTTGACCACATCTTTCTTTTTTAATGAACAGTGAAAACCATACTTCATTCTTCCATTCAAAGCATAAGTTTATGTACATTCACTAGTTTATACCAAAAAAAAAAAAAAATTGTATTTCATTCTGAATGTCAAAAACGTGATTTTTGCCTAAATTACTTAATAAACTAGAATTTAACCCGCGGTACACCGCGGGGCTATATTTTTTTAAAAAAATGTATTGTTATTTTTTAAAAGATTAATTGAAGATATATCATATTAGTTTGTATTTTAAAATGTATATATCTATCTATGTATTATTTAGTGTATGAATACTATTGTTTAGGTTTCAATTTTTGAAGTATAGATACGAAAACATAAATTTTTTTAAGTAACGATGTATGGTCAATTTTAAAATTTTGAATATTTTACTCCGCGGTATACGGTGGGTCGATTTTTTTATAACTAAAATTTTTAAATTTTAAGTTGTATTTGTTTTGTTAATATTGTATGTTTTGTTTTGTGTTTAAGGTTGTATAATTGTATTTTGATTGTTAATTTTAGGATTTCATCCGTGATATACCGTTCTTTATTAATATCGAGCCAAACCCGTCATCCCATATAAACCCGTCTATATTATCCCGTTGGCTAAATTATTAGTGTTATAAAATCCAAGAAAATAAATTATTATTGTTATAAAATCCAATAATTTTAGGATCTCACCCGTGGTATACCGTTCCTTGAATGATTTTAAATTTATACTACTAATATATATATTTTAAATTTATTATATAAATTATATGATTTTTCTATGTGAATATTTTGATTATTAGAAATTAGTAGTTTTATTGTTATGCAAAATGTTAATATAAATATTTGCTATAAATTGGTTTTATGCATATTTTGTGGAGTAAAATTCACGGAATTGTTTTTTGAATATATATGGAAAGATTGTGTAGAGATTTTTAGAAACAAATTAGGTAAGATATCGTTTGGTTAATATCTTTATTTAAATTTTGTAAAACTAAATAATAAATGCCAATGGCATGGACTCGTAAATAAGGTGAAACTCTAGGATTTATTTGCTAAGTGTACTCCAAAAATGTATATATAGATAATAACAATAGAAACTTGGTATAGCTAAAATATACAGTAAGTCTATATTAATAGCATTCGATTTCAATAAGTAGATATCTCAAAAACGGTTACTAGATATCTAGATAGTCTGTACATGTGATTAAAATGTAGATCGATTTATTAGGTCTCTAGAGTATCTGATGATGGAGGAACAAAAGAAGAGGTACATGAACGATTTCAACGAAAGATTCCATGTTGAGGAAATGATGAAGGGAATCATAGAAGATTCCTTAAATGATATTCGTGCAAGCTATGCGGTATCAACCGAATGGATATCACCTGCTGACTTCAAAGAGCTAATCCTTCTCGATTCAGTTTTCATCTTGGAGCTCTGTCTCAGACATAAAGAAAAAAGAGAGAACACAAACAAGTCAGCCGGGAATAGTAAAGGGAAAGGAAAAGAAGAAGAAGAGGCAAAAGAAGAAGAAGCAATTGCACCAAAAAATAAAAAGAAGATATTGCACCAACAAAAAGAAAAAGAAGAAATTGCACCAAAAAATGAAATTGAAGAAATTGAAGAAGAAGAAGAAATGGCACCCAAAAAAGAAAAAGAAGAAATTGCACCAAAAAATGAAATTGAAGAAATTAAAGAAGAAGAAAAAATTGCACCCAAAAAAGAAAAAGAAGAGTGTTCCCATCCTGACCTTACTGTGGACAACCCTTTTTACACTTCAATGGTGATCGTAGATCTCATCTTGCTCGAGAATCAACTTCCCTACTTCATTTTGGAGAAGTTGTTTGAGTGCATTCGTTCTACATTGGAGGATAAAGCTACACTCTATAAACTAATCCTGAATTTGTTTTCCCTTAATGATGATAAGCATGGCAGTAATAACAGGTTCAACCATCTTACAGACATGTACCGGTGTGTTTATGAAAAATCACTTGGTAACAATCCAAGGGGCTCAAAAAGGGTAACAGAAGATATGTATAACGTGGATAGACTATCCCGCTCTGGAGTGAAGTTCAACAAAGTGGAGGGTGAATACTCAATAGCTGTTTCGTTTAACAAAGGTGTTTTAAGTATGCCATGTTTCCCTGCGGATGAGTCTTCTGATGTCATTCTAAGAAATGTCATTGCATATGAGCAGTGCCATGATCCGAGAAATGCCTTTACTTCTGAGTACATAGATCTTATGAATTTCCTCGTTACCACCAACAAAGATGTTGAGATACTCACTACTTCAGGTAAAAACATTATAAAACACCATTTCTTGTATGTATATTTGATGAATGTTAATAAACATGTATTGCTTGAACAAAGGGGCTATATCTAATGATATTGGGCGACCAAGCTTGGTGGTGGAAATGATAAACAAGTTAGGCGAAGGGGTGTTGACACCAATAGACACCGTTTATCACGACACAGTCAGGGAACTCAACACTCATTGCAACTCTTGTGGAAATAATTGTTGTGCCACTCTCAAGAGAGTCTACTTCAGCGACTTGTGGACTGGAACAGCTACAGCAGTAGCCGGATTGCTCTTGCTTTTGACTTTGGCTGCTACTATAGCTTCTATATATCAAGCTGTCAAGGCCAAATAATTACATGGTTGTTTATCTTAAAACTTGTTTCCAACTACTTTTTTGTATTTGCCAAATAATTTGGTGGTGATATTGTTCATTTCGGTCGATATTGAGTTTGGGTTTCTGATTGTATCTATATATCTATCTATATGATTATTCTAATTCGTGATTATACGTAACTAAACTTATGAGTCTATTTATGTGTAATATATATAAGCTAATATGGATGATTTGGTATCATTTCGGTTTCATTCGTATTCGAGTTTTGATAAAAATATATACTTTTAGACTTTTAGTATATGAATGATTTAGGTTTGGGTCAAATTAGATTGGATTGGTGAAGGCTCTACTCGTTTCTCACGTGTTTTGGTTTAGCTATCTAAGAATGTATAACAATTACCTGCATAGATTCGTTTCTAATAAAGACTTCTGTTGAGAAGACTACCTCCAATGCTTCTACATATCTGAATTGTTTTGGTGTCATTTTAATTCTTTTCAATTTGATTAAATAGGTGTAGATTCTCATGCAAAAAAAAAATCAGATCTCAAAACAATGTTTATTAGGTCTATGCAATGTTAAAAAAATCGTTAGGCGGCACCTAGGCGTTCCATAGGGCCCTAGCACCTAGATCGATTAATCGGAGATTAAACGGAGTTTAGGCGTTAGCACTTTAATGACTTACTAGGATCAGACCCGCCGTACATCGCGGGAGAATATTATTTTTATATGTAGTATTATGATGTTAATTTTAATATTGTATGTTTTTAGTAGAGCAAATTGTGTAGAGTATTTATAAATTTTCATAGTGAATAGTAGAGAGAAAAATTATAAATTGTTTATAGTTAACATCTCTCATATTAATTATGATTTTGCCGCAAATTGGAATTTTGAAATCTTGGTTTGAATGTTTTAGGAGTAAGGAAAATATTGTGTTTATAGGAAAACATATAATTAAGCCCGAGTTTGTATTAAACAGATATCAAAACAAATAAAGAATAAACAAAAAAAAGTAAAATCGTAGAAACATTACATCATTAATAGATTATAGAGAATAAGCAATGAAAAATAAAAATTAGAATGCTCGAAAACTGAAGTATAGATGCTAAAAGAAGTTTGTGTGGATGAATGAAAAATGATTTGTCGAATAGTAAAGCCTATATTTATAGTGTTTAATATTAGGTTGCTTTGTTAGGGTTTTAAGAAAGCATATTCTAAAAGTAATTAGCGTAGATATGCTATAGTTAATCACATCAAAAGATTTAAACGAAATTAATATTTTATTTTTTTGTCAACCACACATTAACTAATAAGAAATTTCTTGATTGGTTGCCCAATTAGGAGGAGAAGAGTCTACAAAAGAAACATCATAAAATAAAAGTTTAGAAGAGCGTGCTAAGCAGTCTGCTTTAACATTACATAAACGAGAAATAAGAGTAAGCGAGAAGATAGGGAAATAAGCACGGAGAAAACCAAACCCATCTAGCAGATTGGAGAAAGCAGGCCATTCATCAGATGTGAAGATCTTATAGCATATTTGTTTTGCATTTTTGCGATTTTTATAATTTTTCAGTAAACCAACTTTATTACTTTCCATAATTAAAGATCGTAGAGAATATTAAATGGTTAATATGAAAATTAGAACATTCTATATATCTTAAGCGATATACTTTCCCTGAATAACGACACATACTTCGGAATTGTATTTGTTGATTTAATATTCGATTATAATTTGAATATTTTACGTAGAAGTTACCATATAAGTCGGGTTAGGTTTCATTTTTCTTATTAATTTTTCTACCAAAATAGCGAAATATCCGTATGGCTTTAATTTCGGGTCAATATGTGTTAATTTTTTAATTTAACCCGATCCAATTCAAATTAAAATCAAAATAAAATATCCAATTGCCATAATTATGGGTAATTGTTCCTCAATTTTATAATTTAACCCGACCCGAATTCGATTGTACTTCTCTTTAAATAGTATAGAGATTTTTAAGTATTTTCATAATTTTATAACAAAACATTAGTTATAAAATATGGAATGATTTGAATTTATTATATATATTCACACCTAATTTATATTAAAACTAAAATAGTTTAGTCTCAATAACTAAAAGTTTGAGAATAGTTGATTTATAATTTACAATTTTAGAAATCAAGTATTTTTATTTTTTTTTTGCTTTTTTTTTTTCACTTATTCAAAACGATATCATATTTAAAAAAATAACTAGATCATGACCCGTGCTGTATACAGCACGGGATTTAATATTTTTCATGAATTAAATTGTATATTTTGTTCGAAGAAATAAGAAATAATATAGTATAATAGTATAATATAAAAAGGATTATATCATAATATTTTATATTTATTACTATTTGGATATAATGTTATATATTTTATTTGACTAAAGAATGAGAGAATATTGTATTTTAGAATTTAATATATTTAGCAGCATTAGATTTGTATTTTTTTATATGAGATTAACCATTTCTTTGGTTCAATTAGGTATTGATAATTTTATTGTGTGATTGTGAACAAACAAAAAATAGTTGTATTGGGTCTAAGTTTTTTAATGGATTATATTGGGTTTGTGGGGCCCAGTTTCATGGTTTAAAAAAAAAAAAAAACGGTTTAACATACCTTTGAAATTTGTTTATGTGTTTCTTTTTGATGTCTGCTTGAATTTTGTTACCCTGTAATTAAAATCAGATGACTTAAAACTTACGGCACATATATTACAAAGAGAATTGTATAAAATTTCAATGGTACTTACAGTCTCCTCTGTCAAAATCATTTCCAAAGACATGCTTTTGTAAAATGAATCCACGAATGAAGTATACTAACTTGAATACACCAAAAAGTCTTGACAGGCTTCAAGTTGTTAATAGGAGTGTAGCGACTAACCATAGCCATTTCTGCTGTATTTTTAATTGTAGGATATGAGAATGGTGCTGAGATGATTTCTGTGAGAAATGTACGTCAAACCTAAATGGATATTTATAGTTGTAGATTATTTGTGATAATTAGGAGATTCAGAAATATATTAATTAGCATAAAATAGTTTGATAATATTTTAGAAAGGTATATTCTAGATTATTTGGAATATAGGATCAAAATTATATAACAGAGATATTTGACAATCTTTAGAAAAGATTTTAAGGAAACTGAATAGCTGATTATATTGATGCGTGATTAAGCCAAAACAAAAAACGTAAAACTAAACAAAAAAACGATCTAGAATATAACAACTATTATAACTTATTTTTTTTTATAAAGGTTTTTAAGGAAACTGAATATATTCTCAAAGATTTTAGGAAAACTGAATATATTCTCAAAGATTACGAATTGCTTGAATACGAATTTATATCTAAACAAAATATAACAACCTAATATCTTTAAGATCTTTAAACCCGTGTTTCGTTATTTGACCAGTTTTTTAATTAATTTGTTAATGTTAGTGAGATGGAATTAAAATGATTATGATTAGAGATCTCTAATGGCATATATTATTATTTCTTACAAAATTAACGTTACGACTTATAGGATGTACTTCCCAAATAATAGTATAGGATATAACATTTTGGATAACATTTTCAATAACATTTTCGAACTATATGAGTATTATAATTCAAAATAGCATTTTTTATAAATTGGATTGATATAAAATGTTTTCAATGATATATCATTTTCATTAACATTTTCAATAACATTTTTTAATAACATGTTCGAATAATGGATTACTATATAACATTTTGAATAACATTTTCAATAACATTTCCGAATAATATATTAGTATATTAGTATAGGATTTTTGCTAATTGTGTTACATTTTCGAATTGATTAGTATATAACATTCTCGAATTATATTAATTATGTATTATATAAACAAAATCTTTTAATATCTTTAAACCCATTTGACCCGTTGATCCGTTAATATATATTAGTGAAATGGAATAAAATGATTATAATTAGAGATCTCTAATGGCATATATTGTAATTTCTTACAAAATCTAAGTTATGACTCTTAGGATGTACTTCCCAAATATTAGTATAGGATTCATGTACTATACCGGCCAATTTGACCAATTAATACCGATTTTGAACGCCTAAACCGGTAAATTGATTTGGAGAGTCTGAAGGTGCATGAGCGCCTAATCGCCGCCCAGACTGATTTTTTGAACATTGGGTCTATTGATGCACGAATCACACAAGTATGAAATGGAATCTCTAGGGAAGTAAGAAGAATCTCTTTTTTAAACGACACAAGTAGATCAGAATGATGAACAATGGTGGTAAAAATCTTGACCAGATCTATTGGAATAATTGAATCAAGCCACAGAGGTTTGAGGTATCAGTCATATGCCCCTAAAGCATCCCTGAACGTGTCTAAGACTGTCCACTTTATGAAGAGTACAACTTACATGAAGAAGAAGCTCAAAAAGTGAAAACAGTTGAGCAGAAATAGCAACATGGAAAGACGAATCAAGAAGCACCGCAGAATGCGTCTGTACAACACAGGAAATCTGAACCCAGAAAGATGTGGACAAGGTCCAAGAGAGGTCGAAGAGTGTTTGATTGGTTTCACTGTAGAAAATTAGGTCATATCAGAAGCTTTGGTTACAAGTTCTAAGATAAGATCAAGCAACTGTGGGAGGCACGAAAATGCTTTATTGAACCTTCTAAGTTCTGCAGAGTCTGAGTGGCCAAGAGAGATTTGTACAACAAAATCAAGAGCATGATGAAGAAAAGTACAACATAGCAGTTGATGAATCTGAGGAGATCAACCTGACCTATAACGTGACATTGTACAACTTGACGAGTCTGGTGAAGATGAGAGCGTCATAGCAAAGGTGGCTTACACATCTACAGACGGATCTGCTAGCAATCCGTGGTACTTTAACAGTTGTTGTTCAAGACACATGACATGTAACCCGAATGTACTGTCAACCTACATTGAAGAGGCTAGTGGTAAAGTAACATTTGGAGATAGTGATAAAAGACGTATCAAAGGTAAAGGAAACATTCATTGTGATGACCAACCACCATTGGTAAATGTGTATTATGTTGATGGGTTAAAGGCTAATATGATCAGCATAAGTCAGCTTTGTGATGATGGACTCAAAGTAATCTTCAAAATAATCTGAAGCAGTAGAAAGCTTTAAGATTCTTGCCCTACAGCTTCAGAATGAAAAGGGA